TCCAGAATTCACCAGCGCTTTTATCTCTTTTGGAAAGAAGTCTGCGGCTACTCTTTAGCGCCCCGTAATCTACAGGAGGAGCACTATCGAATTAGGCGCTGCGTTGTATCCTTGCAAAGCGACCTCCTTAAAAGAATTTGAGGAAACTGGAAACGGAATATCGAGGACATGCAGTACATCAAATTCGCCTTGACGAGCTGAACACAATGCTGCTTCCGTCAGAATATATTCATTCCGAAGGAAGTTATGACGCTGCGTAGTTTGCGTGATTCGACGTCGAAGCACTTCGTTGCCAGCATTTTCAGGTGCCAAGTCGTGCCGAGCTCTGCTCCAAAGATTACAGTAATCTAGAAACCTTTGTCAAGACTTTAAAAAATTGTGCGGGAAACTAAACTTACTGAATAGTCGGATCTTCATTAGGTTTAGTACAGAAAACCTGTATGCATGTTGAACTTTGTTTTTGGCGCAAAAAGCAAAGGGATAATGTAAAAACCGCCAAGCATCCATATCAGCGACCACTTACAAAGAAAGGATGCTTGTCGAAGTAGGGTTTCTGTTTGAAATGTATGCACACTTATAGCGCTCAATACGCTTATTCCCATTCTGCTTTCGTTATCTGCAAAGCGCTTCTAAAGGTTGTTTCAGACTGCCGCACTGATCGCAGCAGACTGCAGCACGCCGCAGCTGACTGCAGCTGGCCACACTGACCGCAGCTAACTGCATCAGACTGCAGCTGAACGCACTGATCGAAGGCTGCACAAATTGCTGCATCCTTTCATGAAGGTAGAGAGGATAAATAATTGTAGCCCAAACAGTCTCTTAACAATATATGCCCCAAAAGACAACGCGAGCGAGAATAAAATAGTTATATGCCATGACAGGAGAAATCAGAACAAATATGAGCATATCGAGAAAAACAGTCGCCAAAATTAGACTGAGAAGAGTAGGTTGGAACCTATGAACTTACTAGGCGTAAATCACGGTGTTTTAACGTATTCGCAGTTGTTTTCCTTTTTACGAAAGGATGCAGCGACTTTGCGGCCGTTGCGGTCAGTGCGGTCAGCTGCGTCAGCTGCAATCTGCTGCAATCTGCTGCAGGCAGTATTAAATAACCCTAAGAGGGGAATTATGGGAATTTTTGGAGCAAAAATTTGCACGCGCTGTCACAATAGAATCGTTAGAAACCTCAATCTCTGAGCTCATATGGGGGCTACGATTGCTGCCAAAGCGCTTTATAACCGAAATTTGTTAAGCTTATGCTAATCATTACTCCTTTCAAGCGGCGAAAAGACCGCAATAGCTGTATTCATCTTAGCCAAACCCTTGAATTTTTGGCCTCAAAAACTCCTATAAGTCTTCTCCCAAAAGCGTTTTGCTGATATCGAAAGAAGATTTGAAATCAGCATTCTATGCTTTATAAAAAAGAAGTACACATTTCGTATGAGGAACTCCACTTCGACCAAGTATCCTTCGCTTGTTAGACGAGCACAGGCTTCAGAAACAAATCTTTACGGGACAAGCATGCTCAAATGTGATTTTCACTAAACGCGCGCATTTTGAATACCAGGCTAAAATAAACAAATGGCTTGTTAAAGGCAGTGGCTCGCAAATCCTCGACTTGAAGTTTTGCTTACCTGGGGTATTTCGGCATACACTTCGAAGAGCACGAAAACGGCGAAAACTAGCATCCGAGGCTCATCATTTTGAATTTAGACGAGTGTAACGCTTTATGTCATGGCTAGAGACGTAGAGTCGTTGCGGGACCATCGTGTTTATAGCATTGCGACATGTCGCCTTTGAAGGTCGGAGAGAAATCTCACGCTCGTCCGAGCGCCTGTCAGAATGGCTTACGCGCACGCGTTTAGGGGCAGTTTTCTAGGCGGAGACGGCATGCTGTGCAATCGGACCTGCTCTGTGCTCATATTTGGGATGCGAGCAACCTTCCGTATCAAAATTCTGATATGTTTGGTTTTGCCGAGCCACTGCCTTTAACAGCGGAGAGACAAGCTATAACACCAAGCTGAAGTGTGTATGTAAAACATCATATACAAAAATCATTATCTAAAAGCGCTAAAAACTTATGTGAGTAATATCTTCTCTTATATTCTCCTCCAAGACACAGCAAAGCAACTTAGTCCGTCTGGAACAAACACTTTTGTAAGTTCACATAAATTTCAGATTCTTGTTATCATGGACACATCCTCCCGGTCAGAAATTTATTCTCGAGCAGGAAAACGAATCCTTGTTACCCCTTCTTCAGAGTGAACAAGAACCCGCCGCGAAAAACAAAAAATAATTGATATATTAGGTCATTCCGAAAGTATTTTCGCTTTTTTCAAACGGGCGCCACATTCGATGGAACAAACATTTTTAAGAGATCTTGGCAGCAGTCGATGCAGAATTTCATTCTCTTTCTAATGGTTATGAAATTGTTGCAAAACAATCAATGGGGCTTCAGAATATAACTAAAATCTGCGACACATGATTTTTGAGATGGTCAAGTTTCACAATTTTTCAAAACTTTCATATTAATCCTCAGAAAAAGTTCAAGTGAAGGTTCGATAGAGCAAACCTCATAGAACACAGCCCAACTTTTTCCTCTTTTCGATAGCTTGTCATATATTTTTAATAGAAATTTAACTGATGCTACCGATTTCCATATTTGTACAGCTAAATCCTCGTAGAGCATCAAAGGAAGAGCAGCTCGGGTGCTGTTTGATGCAGCATTTTCTCCTCTTTCCAATGGGTGTTTTTTGTTTCCGATTCGTTTAGTTTTCGGGGATAAAATTATCACAATTCAATTTTTTAAGGAGCCCCAGGCTGTACCCGAAAAACTCGAAACTTGATATTTTGAATCCGTAAACTCTCATTTGTTTTATAAAATCAATATTAAGTCATATATCGTCTTGAAACATTGAAATTCCGAGTAATTACTGATGTTTGATGCGATTATGGCTAAAGTGGGCCTGCCAAAATCCGATGGCTTTGAAAAAAAATTTTTTTAAAAATTATGGCGAGCTATGAGAAAGAGAAAAAAGTAGTACTGTATTCTATATGGTTCACTCTATCGAGTCTTTACTTGAAGCCCTTCTGAGGATTGATATGAAAGTTCAAAAAAATCGTGAAACTTGACCATCTCAAAAAGCATGGGTCGCAGATTTTGGTTATTTTCTGAAAGCTCATTGATTGTTTTGCAACAGTTTCATAACCGTTAGAAAGAGAATGAAATTCTGCATCGACTGCTGCCAAGATCTCTTAGAAATGTTTGTTCCATCGAATGTGGCGCCCGTTTGAAAAAAGCGAAATTACTTTCGGAATGACCTAATATTTTTGCAAATACCGCTTATCTTGAAGAGTTTATTCGCTGTATCAAAACTTGCCTTTTTGTTGTTTCTTCCTTTTTTTATTTTCATGTTTTTGCCTGTTTTTATCTATTTCGCTCATGCTTATCTCGAACAACATTGTAAGCAAGATTATTTGATCTCTAAATCGTGCATTTATATCGACCCTTTATTTTCTGCATGCGTTTCTATGTATCAAGTGGAAGTTCAACACACGAGGGACAAGGGGAACTTTTCTTTCGAGGAAAAGGTAGAACCGATTCATGCCCCTGAGCCCAACACGGAGTTTAAATTGTTGAGTCCCTGTGAATTAGATACATTCAAGAATTCTTACATGAATTTCTGCAGTTTAATTGAGAATATATCTTTCAAAACTAACTTAGTATAAGCGACTATAGCTAAAAAAAGCATTGGTCTGCTTACGATATTGATCAAAGAGGATCGCTAATGTCGATCAAGTTTAAAACACTTTTCAAGGTTTCTTTACTCTCAAGGACTAGACCTATAATTAAAAAGTCATGACCCCTGCTGTCGTCAATTTAAAAGTAATCGCACAGCTTCGACATATTGGTTGGTAGCAAGGCGATGCCTTTCTAGCTTTTCTCTTTTGAATGCGACACTCAGTTCCTGGCATGGCGTAGACTGATGAGGTGCGATGTGAGGAAAGTGTTTGAATTGTGGTAACAAGATGAAGAAATTTATGCACTTTGCCGAAGACTGGTGAGTGGAGAAAGATATTTCGAGCAAAAATAAACTTCTTCGCAATCTGAATCAAACTCTTCGAGACCAAAATATAGGAAGGGTTGCTGATGGAAGACTATTTTGAAAAAAGAATTATGAAGACAAATCGAAATCTGGGGCGCTTAAAGAGTTTAGCGAGCTGCTGTCGTTAACTTTGCTGCGGACATCCGTCAATGAATTAGGTTGTAATTTTGAATTTGGCGAGATTTTGTATAGTGGGATAAAATAACTGCTAATTACAAATCTCGGGTTCATTTTTTGTGATGTAAAACTCATGCCATAAATCTACCGTGACCTTACATAAAAGGATCTACCATGCAAAATGAGTTTATAACCTAACCTCCTCCCTAGAACAAACTTCCCAGATTTGTGACAGTCTGCAACCTTGCTTCCCCTATATGCAAATCGAAATCTTTACATGAGAGCAGAAACATCCAAATGGCTGTGCTTGTTCACAATATGATGCATATAGCAAAGAATGACTGCCCACCATTCAAAAAGAAAAAAGTCACGAAAAAAAATAGCAAAGCTTATTTGCCAAACAATACTGCTCGTAATTTCTGCAAGTAGGAAATGCGGCGGTCACTTGTCTCTTTGGTGACACCTTAGTGTGGCCATATTTCACTCAAATACATGCTGGACGAGGAGCAACTTTTATATACAGACGAGCCTCTCTGGAAACGGGGTGTGTACGATAAGCAGCCAAATTTCACCAATAAGTACAATTTTCGCCTACGACAGCTTACTTAGGCTGCGTTCATACTAATCCCGAAGTTCGGGAACAGTCCAGCTCAGCGCTCAGTTTGAGAAACTACGATCTGACTAAGGTGATCGTAGCATGGTCATATCTGTCTTTTTTAAAGTCTAAAGCAAAAATAATGAGCGGTATTGTACATAGTTCAGGAAAGCAAGTCTCACCTTGGTATCACCTGGCTTGGCTTTATCTGACTTAATCGCTGGTGTCTTTTCTGTTCTCTTCTCGTTTGCAGGCAGTTCCGGTAGCTTCCTGTAAAAATATGTCAGAAACAGACAACTTTCTTCATGTCGCTGTCACTTCATTGACAGTCACAGCCACTTAGTGTTGCTATGTCACATCACTCTGAAGTAACTCTTGGATTTTGGCATGTTGTCACACCTAGAATGTAGCACAGTTTGGAGTGGGGAGTGGAATTTTTTATTTTGTTGGACAGAGCGTGTCTTACGTTTGAGGATTCTCGTTAAATCACTGGAAAAGGTCGATATCTTAGGCTATTTCGTAATCGCGCACTCTAACTTGATTTATCGTTGATCGCCTGCTTAGTGCCCTCGCGCTATGAAATGGCAACCACCGGTACTCTGATGCTTTGTATGTCTCGTTGTTTTTATAAGATTTGCTGATTGCGTCTGCTTTGGCATTTTCTCCCTTCTCAAACATCTGGATTTTGTGGCAACTCCCAATTGCGCTCAACAACTATTTATAATTTACAAACAAGACCGTGATTTTCCTCTAAATAAATATCAAACCCATTTTTTGAGTGCAAAACTCTGCAGGTTATTTTACAATCACTAATGAATTGATCAACGATGAACAAAGTAAGTTGCGTCCAAGCCTCGTTTCAGTCCGACGCGAGTTTGCATTGAAGTCATCTTTATATACAGTACCATCAACGGCGCCGTCAAGAAAAGCGGATCAAACGCGGAAGTACTACGGAAGTGCCGCTTATCCAACTCGCTTCGAAGCTGCTCAAATGAAAAAAAGGGGGTACAATTTTGCAATAAGCGCGATTGTTTGTCTAAAAAATAATGTTTACCGCCTAAAATTTTTTTGTTTTCTTTTGACTCTATTGTTTTTTTCGTTTTTAAAATTGTTTACTAGATGTTTACAGCTGTGCTCCTCACACAATATCGAAGAAAATATAGATTAACGTTAGATGATGCTCATTCACAGTCACTCCACGAAAACCTTCAAACAATTTCCATTTTGGTGAAATGGTCATTTTCACATCTCAAAGGGGCAGGCAGCAAAAGGCTTGAGTATATCCACATATATAGAGAACAAAAGGGAACGACATCTTTGCCTGGGACTCTAGGAAAGGCAAGGAACAGTTGACAGAAGATTTCTGAAGAGAACCCTCTGCGAAACTGATACAGAAGGTATGCAGCTGGTGTATAATAAATTTTGGTAAGATTTGTGGAGAATAAAAAGAGTGCATCTCACGAAATCTTTCACACCTGCCAAACTGAGGTCTTTGAAAAAGCGGCTACAGCAAGATGGTAGAGATAATTTGGAAAGGTGAGTTGGCGTAGAATACGTTTGCTGCCCTTTTTGGAGGGTTTGACAATATGGTCTGGAGGAAACGTGAATAAGTTTGCGCTCGATTTTGCACAATAGAATTAGCCTTTCCTGTGAAAAACACTAAAACGAGATAGCAATCTGTGTGGGTTTCGTAAAGAAAGTAAGTTGAACACAGTCATCCAAATTCCGTTGCATGTTTTTGATGTAGCCTTTCCGCAGCGTATACACAAAAAACGCGTTAGATCATTTGAAAAGCTGGAAAGCAGCTTTGGATCTATTGGTAAAGACTGCATTGTTTGACCATTGTTTTCTCTCCATACATGCATCTACGTCAAAACGACACGTAAGCAGATAAAATGGGAAACAATGGATATCAACAGAAAATGAAAAGAACGGCGATAAACATTTTACAGAACATTCCAAGAAATATAAAAAAAGCTTCGAATTACACGCACATCCCCCTAATCTATGTGAGCCTTTTTTCGTTTTGGACCACTCCGAAGAAAGTTATGCTGAAAGGGCAATACCGGCGCGTTTTTACGTTTAGCACTGTGGCTTGTGAATGCGTGGACACGGAATTGGGGCCCATTCTGTGAAGATTCATGTGGTATATTTTTTTTGTTGTTCGGTAAAAAGAAATAGTATCACTAAAGAGCAAATAAGAAAAATCATGACTTCTTCTTTCGTAAAGTTTTTCAAAGCTTCCAGAAACTACTCTTACTTAGCCCTTACTGGATTGGTAGTTATTAGGGTGTCCCATAAGTCTTTTCATATCTGACATTTCACCGAATAAGTAGCAGTGGTGGTCCCAAAATTTCGGACCGGAGGGGGGGGGGGGGACAAAAATTTTCCTGAGTGAAGGTGCATGGCGTCAGCCTTCTTGGGGAACATCAATTTGAAGGTTCAAATATGAAAAGACTTATGGAACACCCAATAACTCTTGTATATAAGGTTGTTACATAAGTCTTGTTACACTTTCTCACGACAATAAGTAATGCACCTCATAATCTTTACAGGGCTCCAGGGTACCGTTCGATAGAGCAAAGCAAGCTCTACAAGATGATATGCAAGTTTGCACCACGAACCACTGGAAGTTTGCATCCGGAATGTGAGTCGCACTGAGAACCCAGAAAATTGGGAAAAATCATATCTTCTTACGAAAAAATCCTCCGCATCTCCAACTTGTTTACACAGATTGCATACCAAATCGGACACTCATATGTACCAATGCTGTATCTTTTCCTCGCCTAAAAATTGAGGAAACGAAAATTTTCTTGTTTTGACAAAAACGGAGCTATGCTGTTTCTATTCATGTGGCTGTATACCACAAGTCCTTAGAAGTACAACCGTAAATTTTCAGCTTTCCATAGGCCCTAGCTTTCGAGAAATACCTTTAGATTTTTTCGCTTGGGTGTTCAATGCTAAATTATTTAATTTTCGAAAACTAGGGCTTCTGGAAAGCTGAAAATTTACGTTATGCTTCTAACAAGGGGAGGATACTTGGTCGAAGTGGCGTTTCCATATAAAATGTAAATATCTTATGGAGCATAAAACGCTGATTCCAAATCTGCTTTCCATATCTGCAAAGCGCTTCTGCAAAGAGAGTTATGAGAATTTTTTCATGCAGAAATTTGAAAGGGCAGTTACAATAAAATCATTCGAAACTTTAGCCCGCGAGCTCATATGGGGCTATGATTACTACTAGGGGCTTTTATGCAATAGATACCTTCAATCCAATAAACTCATGCCGTCATTACTCTTTTCAAGCGCCGGAAAGATCTCAACACCTGCTTTTATCTTACAAGGGAAGGATACCAAATTAGTTTGGCCTTTTGAGATAGAACACATATATTTTTAATCATCTTGGAATGGTGACTCCAAATATGCTGTTCCTAGCTGCTTAGCGCCATTCCGAAGCGAGTTATGGGCTTGCTGTTGTGAATAAATAACAAACTTCTGAATGTCGTAAGACGGCGTATAGATAAGAATCTGCTCGAGAAAAGTGCTACTATATTGAACTAGCCTTAGATTAATTCTTTCGTTCTTGGAAGGGAGCATTATATACTTACAATAGTACCTAGACGTCGACACCGTAGCACCAGTAGGTCGAGAAGCACGCAAACTTTGCATAGAAAAGAGACCATAACTGGCTTCAGAAAAATGCTAAGCAGCTAAGAGTATTAAAACCAGCGTTCCAGCTGATTCCAAATATATGTGTCTCATCTTAAAAGGCAAATCTAAGTTAGTATCCTTTCCTTGATAGCCAAATCGTTGTATTTTTACCTCAAAAAATTCTAAGAACTCTCCTCCCAAAAGCGGTTTGCAGGTAAGGAAAGCGGATTTGGCAGCGTTTCATGTCTTATAAGTCGGTATACATTTCTTATGGAAAAGCCACTTCGACTAAGTATCCTTCCCTTGTAAGGGCTTGTATTAAGTTGTCCGGAAATTGATGTCCGTTTCTCTTGTCCGTTTTCGTTGATGTTTTGAAAATAATCTGGAGCTTTCGATCAACAAGCTATGAACCATTTTGAAGCTAAATAGTTGCCATTTCATCACATCTATTTCTTGGCAGACAACTATGGCACTTTTCCGAAGATTTAAGTCCTCGAATAAAGATGTCAAAGCAAGACTTCCGCCTGATTTACTACTACGAATTCTCCCTTGGTCGCATTGCAGCTGAGAAGGCTCGGAACATGTACACCGTGTGGGGCGACGGGAATGTTAGCGAACGGACTGTGCGAGGCTGGTTCAAAAAATTTAAGGATGGTGATAATAATCTTGAAGGCGAGGAAGGTCGATCGACCGTCTTTTCTCGATGACGATCAGCTGAAGGCTGTGGTAGAAGACGACCCCCATATGATTGTGCGAAAAATTGCGGAAGACTTAGGTGTTGGTCATAGCACGGTTGCAGAGCAATTGGGTAAAATCGGCGAAGTAAAAAAATGGACAAATGGGTACCCCACGAACTGAGTCCCAGCCAGGAGAACCGCCGATATGAGATCTGCTCTGCACTGCTTTTGGGCAACAAAAATGATCCGTTTCTTGAGCGAATCGTGACCTGCGACGAGAAGTGGATTTTATACGATAACTGAAGAAGATTTGCGCAGTGGCTGGACAAGGATGAGCCGCCCAGACCGTTTCCCAAACCTAAGCTGCATCCGAGAAAAATAATGGTCACTGTTTGGTGGTCTGTTGACGGCATCATCCACTATAACTTCTTGGATCCGGGTGAAACCATCACTGCAGAGAGGTACTGCAAGGAACTCGACGAGATGCATGAGGAACTTAAGAAAATACGTCCGGCTTTGGTGAATAGGAAAGGGCCTATATTTCTGCATGACAATGCCAGACCACACGTTGGAAGTTTGACCCTACAAAAACTAAATGAGTTAGGATATGAAACCCTGCCTCATCTTCCTTACTCACCAGACCTATCACCTACAGATTAACACTTTTTCAAGCATCTCGACAACTTCTTGCAGGAGAAAATCTTTAAGGAAAATGAGGATGCCGAAAATGCTTTTCTGCAATTTATCGCCTCCAAAACTCCAGATTTTTATGCTGCTGGAATAAGTAAATTGGTATCGCGGCAAACTGACATCGCGTTGGCAGAGATGCGTTGATTCTAATGGTTTTATTTTGATTAAAAGGCTTGTGTTTGGGCTGATTTATGAGGCTTTAAAGTTAGGGTAGCAAAACGGACATTAATTTCCGGACAACTTAATATAATAGTATACAGCTACATGAATATAAACAGCATAGCTTCGTTTTTGTAAAAACAAGAAAACTTTTCTTTTCTCGACTTCTAAATAAGGAAGAAATACAGAAATGGTACGTATGAGTGTCTGATATAGGGTGTAATTTCTTTGAGCAAGTTGGAATTGCGTAGGATTTTTTGAACAAAGATATGAATTTTTCGCCATTTTTTAAGCCTTTAGTACGACTCAGATTTTGCAAAGTTGCTGCAAGCTTTTGCATACTATCTTGTAGAGCTTGCTTTGCTCTATCGAACGTTACCCTGGAGCCCTGTAAAGATTATGCGGTGCATTACTTATTGCCATATGAAGTTAAAGTGTAACAGGACTTATGTAACAACCTAATACTTGTAACAGTTTCAACTCTATAGCAAATATTTTTATTCCATGATATTCTAAAGGCAAACAATTATGCACTATCTAGTAGTCCTTGCGCATTCTGAATGCTAAGTCCAAATATGCTTTTTTTCTATGAAACAGTTTCTGAAAGAAGTGCTGAAAGAAAAAGGCTTAGTTGAAAATTGTTAAGCCTCAAGTTCCAGAATCAGCGAAAAGCTGTACACTAACGTGTAAATAATTCTTTATGGTTCATATTGACCACAAGGAGAGGAAAAGCTACTAGAAATATGTGTAGGACAAGTTCTGGTGAAGCAATGTTAGAATAAGCGCCTGAACATCTACTTCTTAATTTGCGCGCAACATGGTCTTCACATCTCAGAGCAAATATCGTTGCTGTACGGCGGTGATACAAGGTGACAAAGAAAGCACTCAAACTGTACTTCCATGAGTGACGGTTATAAATGCTAAACCAGATGCACCTGTATTCATATCCGCTCTTGTTTTTACGATCTACCCCTTCTAAGAAGTAATAACTTTCAGGCGGCGTGATCGTACATCTCCACAAATGTTATGATTTCAAATTTTGTATCCAGCTGCTGCAAGTTGCTCGTGTCCTTTATCAGCGCCGTGCTAACGAAGATCTAAATTCGACAACTAGGACAAAGCGCGCCCAAGTGTTTCGGCACGGCGCTGACACACGCGAACGGACGCAGTCTTACGCGGTAGAAAATAAATTGCAATTCTAGTAGAAAGAGCGATTACGCAGAAGGCCAACTCCCAAAAATTTCTTTTGGATTGAACTGACATTTCCAACACTAAACGAAGAAATAAGACTTCTTACGTTAAAACCGAGAATTTAGATGTTAAGATCAATAAATAATTGAATTCGCTGTCTCACTTCAAAATGTGCTAACAAAGTTTGATGTGAAAGAGAAATTGGAACGACTAGCATTCTGACTGGAAAGAAACCAACTTACTCGGGTGCAATTTTCGTCTCAATTTTCTGCACGGCTGCCGTTTCAAGCTTTGGCGGTTGGATCACATGTTTGTATGCAAAATCAGTAGGCACCTTCTTGTCAGCAAGTCGATTTGCTGATTCCTAAAAACAAACCATTCAAAAGGTTTCTGCTTCTTTCCTACATGAAGAAAGTACTCACCTCCGGCACCTTTTCGGTAGTTGGCCTAACATACGTCGGCACAACATTCACTTCCGTTTTGCCAGTCTCGACCTCGTACGGACGCGCCTCAAGTTCGCAAATCTCCTCCTCTGGCAAAATTTCGCTTTCGTCCAGTTGCACCATCTCCTCGGCTGGCACGACGTGCTGAGGAATTCTGGTCGCTCCAGCCTGAGTAGAAGCGACTATGAGAAAACTAGCCTGGAGTCCAGTTAGAGAATATAGCTGTCGTAATTAGTGCGATGGATAGCTAGCTAATTTGGAATAAACGCCAACTTTTTCACTGTGTCCATCTTTGACGACTCGCTTCTTTATGGCTTTAGCTGCTTCTTCTTGCTCAAGTCGTAATTGTTCAGCTTTTTCCTCTTCTGTTTTCAGCTCGAGATCTTCGGTGTAGGTGACCTAAACCGAAGGCAGAAATGACCTGTTGATGTATGAACTACATTTTGTTTGGAAAGTATTAGGCTGTTACATAAGTCTTGTTACACTTAACTTCTAACGGCGATAAGTCATACACCTCATAGTCTTTGCAGGACTCCAAGGTACCATTCGATAGAGCAAAGCAAGCTCTACAAAATGGTCTGCAAAATTTCGCACCAGCTCCGACCCACCGTAAGTTTGCAGCCAAAATCTGAGTCGTACTGAAATTCAAAAAATCGCGAAAAATTCATATCTTTGTTCAAACAAATTCTATGGATCTCCAACTTGCTCACAAAAATTGCCCACTATATCAAACACTCATATGTACCGTTGCTATATTTTTTCCTTATCTAGAAATCGAGAAAAATAATTTTTTTTAGTTTTTACAAAAACGAAGCTATGCTGTTTCTATTCATGTAGCTGTATACTACAAGCTCTTAGAAGTATGACCGTAAATTTTCAGCTTCCCAGAAGCCCTAGTTTTCGAGAAATACCTAATTTAGCATTGAACACCCGAGTGATAAAAGCTAAATTTGGCATTTCTCGAAGACTAGGGCTTCTGGGAAGCTGAAAATTTACGGTCATACTTCTAAGAGCTTGTAGTATACAGCTACATGAATAGAAACAGCATAGCTTCGTTTTTGTAAAAACTAAAAAAAATTCTTTTTCTCGATTTCTAGATAAGGAAAAAATATAGCAACGGTACATATGAGTGTTTGATATAGTGGGCAATTTTTGTGAGCAAGTTGGAGATTCATAGAATTTGTCTGAACAAAGATATAAATTTTTCGCGATTTTTTGAATTTCAGTACGACTCAGATTTTGGCTGCAAACTTACGGTGGGTCGGAGCTGGTGCGAACTTTTGCAGACCATTTTGTAGAGCTTGCTTTGCTCTATCGGATGGTACCTTGGAGTCCTGCAAAGACTATGAGGTGTATGACTTATCGCCGTTAGAAGTTAAGTGTAACAAGACTTATGTAACAACCTAATATTTAGGCAAAAGTTGTACAATGTTGTACAATGCTCCAAGGAATGAAAGCAAAATACTGGGTTGAAATAAAACTTCGCAATTCTTTGCAAATAAGCAATAGACGTTAAAGTTAACCAACAAAGTATAGCCAAAATGCAGATGAACAACAAAATATTCGTTGGTCTTAGGTACTATGACTGTTTAGGTACTATGATTGTTACATAAATACGGTAACTATACGATAGGGGAGAAAAGTACAGATTTCAGAGATAACAAAAGAGGTCATCTGAAAAGCTCATGAAATTGGTGGTACGACTTTTTTTGTACCACTGCAGTAATATTACTTCATGATGTCGAAGTTAACCCGACACAGATACATTTAGTTATAGCGCTATAGCATGCACGATACCAGGTATGTGGCGTTGCAGAAAGTAGTTGTAAAGCTAAAAGATTTCATAGATTTATTATCTGATTATTTTCTACCTTTGACTTCTTATAAATGTACAGGGTGCGCCAGAATTATTTGCGCGTGTATTCTGCAACGCAAAACTCGTGCAAGACGAGATCAGCGATAGGCAAAAAGCTATTTTGTTTCAGTGAAGTTTTATCATTAAGAGCCTATAGCATGAGTTGGAGTTTCTAAGTGTGGCTTGAGAAAAATCAGAAAATATCTTACTGATTAGGTTGCGCGCAGCACGCAGGTAACTTTTCAGAGAATCTTCTGCTTCTTCATAGGAAAATGCTCCTGTGATGCAAGGAACACACCACATGAAAGAGCAAGATTTCGGCTGCAACATACTGTAAGCGCAAAATCTAGGATGGTCTGATAAGAAAATTATCGACGTTTAAACGAAGTCATGTGTTTGCTACATGCTCAAAAACTGCACATTTTAGGGGTGCGAATGAGCGGAAAAAAGCAGAAATTGACTCCAAATAAGGCTGGAGTTCAATTTCATCAGTGGAAAAGAAATGTAGAAGCTTTATGAAAGCACTATAGCATTGAATCCTGTGACAGGCACGTTTCTGTAGCTTACAAATGTGATTTGAAAACAAAACGGCCACTGATACGCGGGTGGCATTTGCATACTTTTTGTTGCCATTTTTGGAAGAATAATTGTTGGTGAACGCCAGTACCACGATTCGATAGCGCAAAACCTCCTCTACACTGTGGACATAAAATCCCTTGAAAATGTCTCAAGAATCTCCAGTTACGGAATGAATTATGACTACCAAAAAATTAGGTTTTTGCGCCTTCTAGAAATATAAGTACAACAATTTCATTATTTGCACAAAGGTATGTCAGTCCTCCTGGGCTCACAAAGCGTTGTTTTGTAGAGGATGATTGCAGCATTCTACCACATAAATTTTGAAATCAAAACTATGAGTAGTTTCTTTGAGCACTCATGCAAAGTTGACGCAAATATTTTTGGCGCACCCTGTAATGATGAACCAATAGAAACTAGTACAAGACTAATATTTCTCACCTCACGGTGCTTCTCAGGAATTTCATGCGGTTTTTCGATCAGTTTCGGTTCAGCTATCTCAAATGTCGCGTCCACCTAAATATTTTGAGATTTTGGTCACAACTATGCTGAGTTTGTTCATTTTTAAGGATACGGGGATACGTTTAGTCCGTGAGTGAAACCTCGTTGCTCAGTTTGTTACCTCAAACTCAGCATCAGCTTCTTCAAAACTCAGACACTCCACTTCGATATCTTCCGGTCTGGTGACAACTAATGGATAAGGGGACTGAAATTTCTATAATGCAGCTTGAAGAAGAAACCACTACTTGTGAATTTGTGAGAAAAATGTTCAGAGGTTTTTTAAGGAAACTTTTTTTGGAAGATCAGATTTTGAAATTGGCGAATAAAATAAGATAATTGCAAGATATGAAACAGGTTTTTTCGTTTAAACACAAGATGTATTTTGTTTTATTTGCGTGGTTTTTACTTGGTAATGCAAAGCTTTGTGAATGTAATTTTCGCATGGGGCTCAAATCTTACCTTTCTACTTTCGTCGCCGCTTTCCTCTAAGCTATGCATTTCATCTTCAACCTCCTCTTCTTCGTCCTCCTCATACTCTTCTTCCTCTTCATACTCCTCTTCCTCGTCGTATTCCTCCTCTTCCCAATATTCTTCGTCGGAGTACTAAAAGATTGTAATTACAATGTGGTTCAGATCCAAAAATCAGAAAACCTCTTCGTCATCGTAGTATTCTGAGTCTTCTTCGCTGTCACCCCGCATCGCTGCTTTGTCCACTAACCGAAGCGTACAGCCAACGTCCACTTCGTCATGATAGTGCTGACCGTCGAAGTCCTGAATTTGCATATTATTCCGATAAAAAGAATCAAGAATAGGGAAAGGCGTAAAGTTGATTGGTTTATCCACATTTCTAAGTCCTTAGCAACTTCGCAGAATGCTGATTTTTGAACTTCAAGACAGTTTAGTGAAAAATATATGGATAGTCAGTGCAGCCTTAGGCGATTATCCAGCATATCCAAAGTCAATTTTTCACATCTACTAAGTGTTAAATTGCTTTTTGACTTTTATGATAATTACTAGGTTGGCTCGAAAGTTCTTGCGTAATTCAAACAAAATTCAATAACCTTTCAATACCTAAACCTAAATTCACGATCTTGTTCTCTAAAAATATTAGAAGGCTTGCGCTCCATGGCGGAGGTTTAAGCGCAAGATTCCATGAGCTAGACATCGAGAACGAAGCTCTCAGGTATGGGGCTTCAAAATTTGCGATTTTGTGTTTGGTGCTAGAAAATCGCGGAGTGTCGCTAGGTAGCCGAAAAAAATCTGTAAAAATTACTTACACAGCAGAAGTCCATATGTTACTTTGGAAGGCTTTGATATTGTACGGTAAAGCAAAAACAAAAAATTTCTGAAATATGTCATTTTGCGAAAAAAATCCCCTCATTACCGCAGTTTTACGGCGAGCACTTTTATACACTCCAAAAAACGTCGCAAGGCTCTAAATAGGCACTATGTCTTATTTCTGGTTGCAAACTGTGTTTTTGTGGAAAAATTACAGCGATAAGGGGATTTATCCTGTAAAATGACAAATTTCAAAATTTTTTTGTTTTTGCATTTCCATGAGAGATCAAAGCCTGCCAAAATAACGCATGGACTTCTGCTGTGTAAGTAATTTTTACAGATGTTTTTCGGCTACCTAGCGACATTCTGCGATTTTCTGGCACCAAACTCAAAATCGCACATTTTGAAGCCCCGTATCTGAGAGCTTCGTTCTCGGGGGCTAGCTCATGAAATCTTGCGCTTAAACTTCCATCATGGAGAGCAGGCCTTCTTATATTTTTAGAGAATAAAACTGTGAATTTAGGTTTAGGTGAAAAGTTATTGAATTTTGTTTGAATTACGCAAGAACTTTCGAGCCAACCTAATATTAGGTTGGTGCAAAAGTAATGCGCGTTTTGCGAGTTCTCACTTTGACGTACTATAACTTTCTAAAAGATTCATATTTTTTAGTGCGGCAAAGTTCATCAGAGGCATCAAACCTTTCTCTATACAGCGCACATTGCCTTAGGTTAACTTCGCAAATTGGTGGAAAAATATGGATTGATAAGCAAAAAAATTTTTTTTGGAAACCTCGTTTTTAACTGATCGTAACTTCCTTCAAGATTTGTCAGTATGAATGATTAGTTGACTATCTTGTAGTCGCAAGCCAGTAGTACAAAAGAAGTACAAAAGGGCTCAAATGAAGAGTATCTGCGAAAAGGAAAAAAATAATATTCAAAATTTTCCGCTTTTTTCTACATTTTTTGTGGCCTTCAAAATCCCAAAATATGGAGAATTTTGATTTTCTGTGTACTGAACAGCTTCCACATTTCTGCAAAAACTATCAATAAGAGGTCCATCCTTACGCTTACAGAAATGAACAAAACCTTAGCGATTACCCTCTTCGAAGAAAATCTATGGGCCACAGAATGGCCAAAGCCATCACTCATGTTGAGGCACCGAGATCTCAGTCTAAGTAATTTCTAGAGAAACAGTAAAGCATGCATAACGTAGAAAATTTCTACTACATACAGTATTTAAATTTTCAAAAGAATGCCTTTACTCGCACTTGAATTCTGGCCGAAAAAGTAAGTGCAGTGAAATTCTGGTTTTGAGTGCGGTTGTATGAAGCTCTACAAATTTTCAACGAATGAGGCTAGAAGCTTCTTTCAACCACCATTGAATAGAGCATGAAAGAAGCTTTTTAATAATATGCTGGGTAAGTTTTATAGAAAAACTTTGATGGAGAAAAGCTATCTTGAAAGAAGGGCTAGAAAAACGCGCATTACTTTTGCACCAACCTAATATTTCGAAGTCACTATGGTCGTCCGAAAACTTATCACCATTTCCATTATTCCCAGTCATATCGCATTGGCAGTTTGAATAGAAAGAGTATACTAATATAAATAGTCTTAGTCGTCACTATACACGCAATGAAAATAAAACATAGATTTCTGTCCGAAACATTCTCGTGAAGATGTGTTTTATCGAACAACTCATCTCAAGGTAGATCTTCAAAGATAGAAGTTTTTCAAAGCAACTTTGTAGGTTACTCTGATTACCTTAAAACACATAGCGGGAAACGACATTGATGTTTGAGTCGAGGTGCAAAGATAGTCACATCCTCTATCAGCTCAGCTTGTATTCGCTTTGCAAACCGCGTCGGTTATTGTGGCATTGGTGTTTCTAATGTTTCATAGCTCGGTACAGAACTTTATGGCAAGGTAAACAGACGTGATGAGACATGTAGTCTGGAGCTTGACTCAGTGCTTCTGCCATCATTTGTCAAGTGAAAAATACTGAGATCAGATTCAAAAAAATTTCGGGTTTGCTTTTTATGTTCTGCTGAGAAAGGAAACAAGAAGCAAGCTGCAGCTTCTCGCAACGCGAAAACAACAAGAAACCACGGAACATGAAGGCCGGAAACGTCGTTTTAGGTAGAGGTATGTCACGAAAGGTGTGGCCTCAAACGGACATCTGTAAAAGACCACGCAGGCGTACACACTTACAAAAACTGCACACTTGTACCAGCTATCTGCGCGGAGAGGGGGAGGGGGGGGGGGGGAGGGGGGAGCCTATTGGCACACGTCTTTTCCTACATCAGTTTCACCGCTAATCAAAACGGTTACTGTAATAGATCGTAGGGAAGCGGGACCTCGCCTGGCTGGCTGTTGCCCGCCCTTGCAGCTATGAATAGCGGCAGCCTATTGGTTCGACAATTGGCATTTGTTCTTTTCTCTTCTTTTTTCTAGATTCAAAACAACTTTTAATTGCATGTATACGCTCCCACCTTCTATGACTGCTTTAGTATGACCGCCTAACAAAAGTTCTTTGGATTGGCGTTCAATTTGGTGGTTTGAGTTGCGTGGTTATAGAGGCGAACTGAAAATGGTTTCAGGGTGAAATTGGAATTAAGGCAGCGGAAGGACAGTCGTGCAGTCGCTTTATGCCCTAACACAAAGCGGATAATTTCTTTGATTCCATCCAAATCTACTTTTCGAAACTATTCGATACAAGTGCGCGGGCATAACCGAGACAGTCCCTCGTTCTGTGATGAGTTGCTTATGCAGTAGTTTTATTGGTGACTAGCTGGATTACCCGGCTCCGCCGTATGTTCTGAATAAAAAATTCCATTTCTTAACCGATCCGGACCAAACTTGGCACACAGACACTTCGGGCCCCGGCGGGTGTCACAGTCCACTTTTCGTTATCGATCGATGTCGATTTTATCGAATTTTTGCAAAATTTGAGCTAGGGGGCTGGAATTTGGCAGAGGGGTGTAATCGAGCATGCTGATGTGCCAACTCCCAGCCCCGTAGCTCAAATTTTGCAAAAAATCGATAAAATCGATATCGATCGATGACGAAAAGTAGCCTATGACACCCGCCGGGGCCCGTAGTGTATGTATGCCAAGTTTGGTCCGGATCGGTTCAGAAATGGAATTTTCTATTCGGAACATACGTACAGACAGACAGACAGACAGACAGACAGACATACAAACATTCAGCTTTATATATAAGATAGCGTTTTTTTTTGTTAACATCAGGAAAAAAATTAACATACTCAGGTAGAATGTTTATAGGGTCTGTAGTAGGTGTGGTTTATAACGGGCGAGCATCAGCACCGTCCAGCATATGTTTTTTCTTCGTAACAAGCATATTAAGAAAAGAGGCGTGAAAGCCATATTGATTGTGCTTTGATCTAATAAAAAATCAAAGAAACCACGAACCTTATCTTCACTGAAATAGGTTTGATGGGCATAATAAAACAAAAAACGCGCCAAAATTTGAGCTGGAAGCACTTTAGATAGTTACTTTGCAAACACCCTGTAGTAAGAATACTTTTGCCCCTTTTGGATATTTGAAAATGTTTAACAGTGTTTTTATGTACTACAGCTTTATGAAACAATGATGGCCCATTGCAGCTTACAAGCGTGATTGGCAAGATTCTATAAAATGATGATCGCATAATGGCGCACAGCCAGCACCAAATAAGCAAATCCCATGGCATTACTTGCTGTCGGAACAACCTCAAAAATCCTAGATTTCACCGGGTAAGTTCCAAGTTTCTGGTATAGGACGATAGAATCGCTTCGCAGATAAGGAAATGACTGCTCTTTTACTGATAATTCCTATATTTCATCGCGTTACTACTGCTACCAGCAAGCTATAAAGCTCTTCTTCCCATTTCCATCTGTCATTATTTAAATTGAAAAAATGAAGGATTCACGAGAGTGTAAAAATGTGTGTAGTCAATTAGAGCAGTTTTTCAGATCTAATCTCATCGTCTAAAGGTGATTTTTGATTGTTAAATATTATTGTGCTTTGCTTATGTCGCACAACCATTCACAAGGAGGTTTTGTTTTAACCCTCATCAAAGATAACAAATAAATAAAAATGATATTGGGTTAGAAAGAAAGTTCTAGGACATTGCCTTTAGACAAAGTTTTTGTTTTGATGTAAGCACTAATTAAAGCACTAATCTCTAAAAAATTATGGTAAGCGCAAGCCTTACCAATGTTTTCAGTGAAAATTCGAGCGAAAATTCTAAAGCATAGGTTTTTGCCCTAACCCAGATCTCCAAATTCTATGAAGGTTATGGAACCCCCACATGCTCCACTTTATAGTATACACATACTTACCCACTTACATACATAGCTCGGATGAAATTTGAGCTTAAACAACAAGAATAACGAGGTAATTCAAAAGTGGCAAACTCCGCCCCCATCAATCCCAGGCTCCTCCCACTTGTTTAAATTCCAGCTACAGGCAACTGAGAGTGCAGATGCAAAATTTTGCGCATGTACATACATTAGAATTCGAGATAACAGATTTGATCTAAAAATGTCCGAGAACTTCCTTACCAACCTAATAATTAGTCAAATGGTAACTGCATACGCAACGATAAGCGGATGCCACTTCCGTAACCAGTACGTAACATAACTCAAGCACATCTTCAGCTGTAGAATTTGGACCCCTTACTGCGTATTTACCTCAATTATGGAAGAAAGGCTACCACGCGGTACATGTACATAAGCTCCAGATACATGGGCAAAAGCTTGCCATTTTTAGGATGAGCATGGCACATTAGATTCAATAGTTCAGCAGACTGCACTGATTGGAAACGTGGTTGTGCAACTGTTTTAGGAATTCTCACAGCTATTAGTATCAAGCTCAAAAACGAAGCTGATTCCGTTGATCTCAAAAATTACCTGTACGATCGTAAAAGACACCGTATACGTAATGTTCATCTCTAGTCGCTGTTAGCGCCGTCGTAAAAAACGGCTACGGCTATGAAAAGTGGAGGAGGATGGTGAAGTGCATTGGCAGCAGAGCAGACAAGCTGCTGCAGAGCCGTCCGTCGACGTCGTGTGGACAGCCAGCACAGTCAGGTGTAAAGCTCGAAATCGAATAAAATACAGAAAAAAGTCTCTATGTGTAACGATGCGAACGAATCACTAGCATCGATTTGGGTGAAATGGCAAAGAGCTGAAGAGTACACAAGTGCTGAGTGAAACGATTCTGAAGAGATGAGATTGTGACTGCCGACCTCGACGTGATTGATTGTTGGAAATGAGCAATTGTCTGGCCGGTGAAATGGGTGCTTAGTGGTTTTTTTTGTAACAAAAAGGCAAGGGAGGTCGAAGCTTTCGCTTTTATGAAGTCTGTTGCGTCAAAAGTTATTCTGAGAGAATACTCAGCGATTGAGACAACGCTAAGATCACACTCTCTCTATATGGAAGCTTGGAGATTTCATGCTTTGAAAATACCGTACCCATCCTTGATGAGTCGTTGGGAATATTTTCCTTAAGCAATAATTTTTTGAAAGCCGCACAGCATAAGGTAAACGAAACACCTTTACGATCATTTCTTAGTTGCCTTGAATAAAAAGCAGCTGCACGTGTTCCAAACTATATTCAATGCTCAAGTAAATGAGCGAAAATGGACAAATGGTGAAAATCTACTCTTACACTAATAAGTAAGCAAAAAGTGCTAGCATTTTCACAAGATGATATGACGTGAGAGCGTGAACTAAAAAAAGGGAAGTGATTCTTTTATCACAGTTCAAAATGGCATGTCATGTTTTAGAAGATTACCGTATAACTTCAAAGGCAAAAAAGCATCATAAAGTCTTTTACAAATTTCTAAAGGCACAAAATTCAAACTCGCGCAAAATTAAAAAGATATTTAAGAACAGAATTCTAGGATTTCTAACATTGCATTGTAAATTTCCACTTTACTCAAAACGCTTATACAGTTCGAGACACCCTCGCTTGCTTTCATCCACTGAAAAAAAATTCATTCAATCTTTTTTCATGACAAAAATCTTTCGAATTCCTCGGATACTTTTTAGCTTATTTTCTTACATGATAATTCTAGTTAAGATATCAATACTCCTTATTCTCCATATATCAGACCTCAAATCTTCTACTTAATTATATTTTTAGAATAATAATGGTGAAACTATAGAATGTTAACCTCACAGGCAGCGCAAGTAGAATTGCTTTAAATTTTGCAACCGCTCCAAAGGAGCATTGTTCAGCAACTAATCCCAGAAAAACTTACAATGAATGGAACTCGAAGTTCTCTCTAGCTCACTCTAGCAGCTTTACGTCACCAGCCTTTTTCAAACTGGGCTCGAGAAAGCAATGAATGGAATAAGCTTTAGTTCATGAGCAGCTGCTTGAAAGCTAGCGCGTGATTTTTCCTATAGAATAAGAGTTTAAAAGGTTTTAGAAACTCACAAGTGAAATCTTGGCGATGCAGTGCTCAGAAGCACTAAATAAGCTCTATCTAGATGATGCAAGGTATAAAATTGGGCGGCAACGATTCGTTGTAAAATGACCTACGAAAAACGTGGAATGAGCCTTGAGCGACGTTTCATCGCTATCCGCTATATACATTACGACTATTTCACTTTTTCCTAATAGATAGCCCAGTCAGATGTGTTCGTTTTCAATTCCAAGACGTCGTTAACTCTATCGTTTTCGTTTCAGGTTTTACTTCTGCCAGCTGGAAGGCTATAATTTGGGAAATTGCCTCCTTGTACCAGTTCTCATCTAGCAATTACAACAGTTGGAATAAGAGTGCTTGTCCAGAGAACATATGTACAGCTAATAATAGATGGGTTTCACTGAGGTATCTCAAAAAAAATTAGCGATTTAAATGGAAGGTGATAAATACCTGACTAAAAATGATAATGTGAGGAAATCCAATCATGTTTGGATGGAAGAGAGGATTTGTAAGTATTTTGAATAATGCGAAGAAGGAGTATAGTCTACTCGAAATCAATAAATGAGCGCAATAACATGAAGGTTCTTTTTTGATGAAGTTTTAAAAGCTCGTGTAGCTTTTCAGATGGAAAAATTGGCAAACCTACTCGGCATAAAGCTGCTATGCGCTGGAATTCCTTCAGTAAAAAAAGAGGTTAAACATGAAACATTTTACAACATGCTGTAAAATGTCGATAACTATTTTGCATGATAGCGCACAGTGTTCTTGAACAGAAAGCGACTGCACAAATGCATTGGGGGAAAGGAAGGGGGAATTATCAATCGAGAAAGCGTAAAATCAGACAAGAAAGTTTGAAGAGTTTTTGAATTTTTAGCACATCATATCTAAAGCTCTAAAAGAGAAACTTTACGGATATGATTATTTTTGTGGGAAAGGCGTGAGGGTAATCCTAAGGTTCTCTAGCTGTAACGCAAGGAAGCGTACACGTGTACCTAGATCAAAGGGTAATGTTAACATTTCTCACAGTTGTTCCGTAGGTCACTCAATGGTATTATTCGAGTAGCCGTCAGATGTCAGAAAATGTTATAAAGTGCAATTCGTCTCTATTTCATAAAGATATGCGTGTTATTGATGTCTTCTTGAGTATCTTGTCAGAAATGAGTAACGCATCCCACTATGAGAAACTCTGGATGAAAATGAGGGCCACTTGCCGAATTAAAAAAACGATGCACCTGACGGAAGCAAAAGCTCATTCCATCGCGATTCTGACTGTCAGAAAAGTAACATTGATGCTGAAGGTGTTATAGGATTTGAAAAACCGTCCCGATTCTTTTAAATATCGTATGCAAAACAAATCAAAAAAACGTTCAATTTCGGACTTTGAGCGATTAAAAACTTTCGATAGATCTTTTACTTCCTCCCCGGACATATTTATATTGAGCAAACCTGTGCAAAAAATGCCGAAATGCTTTCTGTTGCTTTAAACCAGACGAAGGAGGATATAAAGAACGAGCAAAAAAATGCCATATTCGCATGAGGGGACACCTGGTCAAATAAGAAATATACCTCATCAGACGAATATGTTGTTGGACTGAGATATGCAGAAGATCCGGGGCGGCTGAATCGAGAATGTCGACCTAAATAAATTCCAGCATTCATTTCCTTCCTCGAACATTTGGGGCGATTGCCTTTTTCTTTAACATGTTATAGTTCAAGTGTTACACTCAGACTGCGATGATAATTGAGAATAAATAACTTTAGTTATTAGTTTTATGATGGCGGGAACGGCTAAATGCATGCAGTTTGTACGAAACATCTCACATTTACCATCACGATGCTTTTAAACTTTCCTTGGAACAAGTATTTTTTAGTTCCAGTAATTTCGAAATATCAGAACTGTGGATCGAAAAATTGATTTGTTGAAAGACAAACTTGTCGACTGTCAAAATCTCCTTTACGCGCAAATGCTGTAAAGTTTTGCAAAAATTGACATCTTCTCACCGGAAAACTCGTCGTCAAAATCGGTGCAAGAATGCAAACTTTCTTCATCCCAGCTCTCTTGTCCATCATAAGTGATTGAACACGTGAAAGATGGAGGTGGATTGGCCAATAGTCGATCAACTCGTCCACGAGATTCTTCAGCTCTGCAAAACAGATGGCACGAGTTGCAAATGGATGCAGGAAGCAAAACTGCGCACAAAAGTTAGTTCAAACGTCAGCAAAACGTTCAAATTTCACACAATTAGATCTGAAATGTCGAATCTGAAAATTGCAAAGAAAAAACACTGCTAGTGCTAGAAATTAATCAAAATGTAAGTAAAGAATAAAATTACTGTTGAGTAAAAGTTCCCGATGCTCTGCTATTCGTTTCTTCGCGATCATACCTCGATGGAAGTAAGAATAGTGGCATGCTGGAGTCGCTGTCGTAATCCGACGCGAAAGTAGAACATCGTGAAGATGAACGCGACAGCGGATACAGGTCCCCTGGAAAAAAAAGTTTCCCAATCCGGAAAAGGAAATGAGATTCTCTCCTTAAAACTTTAGAATAGTTCAACAAAGGATTGAAGACGAAAGAAGACCGCTCATCGAAGGCTGAGGTTAGTTCTTTTGTTATTATTTCCGATCCATACGATCTCTCACTACTGATGTTTTCCGGGAAGATCGTACTCTTATCCTTTTCCGTCTGGTGGAAGGAATGAAACGGAATTGGATATCTTTTGATTCTATTTTTATTTTGTTACTTTCTCATTTTTTATTTTCTTATTTATGTCTACGAAAGGATATGACAATTTGAAAAATGTCAAACAAGCGTAATAGTCCAAAAGGTAACTCTTGGTATGAGGCGAAGGTAATTGATATTCGGATTGTTCCGAATTTTTTTTATCTATCGCATCCACTCAAAATGTATTTCTTTCAGTTTAAATCTGATATCCAGACAAGAAGTATCTCGACTTTCAATGTGCAAAGTGATCGGAAAATTAACGTATTTCATAATAAATCATGTTTCTTTGCGTTCAAAAAACTCCTTGAGCTCTCGCCAGAATGGATCTTTTCCGAGCGGACAATTCAGCAATCTTGCGTACAACATTATGTGAAAGATTAGAGTGGGATTTTTTAGTCATAACTAAGTTTAGGTTTCCCAATTAGTCCACATAAGTGAAGGTAGGAATCTTTGGTGTGTGTGTGACACACTGACTTTGATGTAATGCAAGAAAAGTTGGCAACGTAAACCGAAAATATCAAAGATGTTGAAGGACGTTCTTCTTGTCGCCGGGAGATCTCGATACGGTAAGATGAAGCAAAGCGGCAAATCTCTAAGGTGGTCAGCTAACGGCACCAAAAGCTTTCTATTTTCCTCACAAATTCCTTGATAGCGTGTGATCTCTATTTTGCAACTGGATGTTGATTGACTGATTAGATGTTTATTCCAATGTTTCTATTTCTTGCTGTGTTTGTGATAATCGCTAGTGCTTAAATGGTACCTCGCGAGTTAACTGATCAGCAAGACAAGTGTAAGTCAAGGCGACTACCTTATAAATAGATCAGGGGCTTAGCTTTGAATTGACTGCGCAAGTTAATGTACCCGAGCTTGTGCTTGTCATTAAATCACTTAGTAATGGCGTGGCACATACAAGTCAACAAAAATCCATAGAGTCAAAATACCGCCTGATGAACAATGTCTGGCATTCTTTTGATAAGTATTCTGGCGTAAGGGATCTAACAAGTACCACGGCTCAGGAACCCCAAGTCTTTCAGCTCATAAAGTTCTGTAGAAACAATACAAAAGTAATGTAATACTTTGTTGGTTAAAAACTCTCGGGCACTAACATAGTATCTTATGTCTATTGATTGTTGCTTTTGTTTATTTAAAGGTTCATTGACCCAAGTTTTGGATTGACACCACGATGAAGTCTGTGGCAGCCATACCTAGAGCACAATAGCCCCACAATTTTTTTTTACATTGTTCCTCATTTTGAAAAGTACACCAAAGTATTGGAGATCCCCAAAGAGTCCAGCTTTTGGCAAGAATGGATGTTAGAAACGGTGGCGTGATTGCAGATTTTACGCTTTACGTCCTTCATAGATTATCTCCACCATGTGGTTTTTTTCCAGACATGCACAGATTTTAATTTATATTCAGGATTATCATGGAGAGACTGATACCCTTTTTAAGGTTGGATGCCAAATTTTGGTTACAAGGAGATGATGAGGAGAAGAATTCAACATGAAAAAAAAACTACGAGATACTTCCAAATTTCCTCTCAACAATTATATGTTGGGATTCTTGGTGTGCAAAAATGATGACTTTGAACGATGTAGTGTGCTCAATCATTCAACATCCTGTGCAATTTTGATGTTGCAAAAACGGTTCAAAATTTCACCTAAATCCTCTTTAATTCCAACCACCAACCACTCACAAAAAAAGATGGTGTATATAGAAAGATGAATATTTTCAAAAAGAAGGAACAAAGCAAAAAATTACCTATTGGCATGCAATCCCTGAGACTGAACGTCTGCGACACTGAGTATTCATAGTCGGATCCATCTGGAAGAAGCACTCACAAATATCAGATAAAACACATGTCACAGAAGAAATGAGCATAAAATGAGGGTTGGCTGATTTTAATGAATGTTAGGCATATATTTTCAGTGTCTTTTGATCTAAGATTTTTTTTGCAGTTTTGATGTGATTTTGATTTTAAAGAATGAGATTTCGTACCCTATTCTGGTTTATGCAACTCTCATCATAGACATATCTAGAACGCACTTAGAAACAGATTTCTTGTTTGATTCTACTCCAAATAAATGTAGGAGCGTTTGCAAAAATTCGCGGCCCATTTCTGACCCCTTACCCCTTGTCCACCTGTGCTTTTACACATGTGTCTTCGTCGGATGAAATCTGCCTTGCCCATGGCATGTGCCCATCAGATGGAAAGGCTTAATGGCTTGCTTGATAGTTTTGCTTGTAAAAAAAACCTAAGCTGCAACCATTGAACAAACGAACTTTGCAATGCAGATTGAGGGTGCAGCCAAGTGGTGATGTATAACGCTGAGTAAAGTACAAGAGAGACTCCTTCTAAGTGCAGCTAGCAGAAGAAAAAATTGCCCAGGACATTTTTAAGCACATTCTAAATCTCTCTTCACACAGTGACTTTTTCAGAAAAACACGTCCAGCTGCTCAGACCAACTTTTCTTTGCATTTTGCTTTCAAGGATTATTGCTTCAGAACGCGCATCAACCAATAGAGCAGCGCTCTTCCTCAACTCCCGCTCTATTGGCTGCTGCATGTGCCGGAGCGCGATTGAGGTAATGGGCTAGAGTTTCCCTAGGGATTTAAGTTTGGCGCAATTTTGCAGCAGTACTTTAGTATCGCGTTTGCAAAAAGCTGCTCTTACAAACAGGAGATTTTTGAATATCCGTGCTCAGACAATCCTTCAACAATGTTGATTTTAATCATGAAATGTAATGATGGGACAATCTTTGCTTACTAACGTAACCTTCGCGAAGGCCAACAAAGAAAGATATACGTGTGTCTCTATGTAAAGCATGCTACCACTTTTCATTTATGGGAATGTGACCTCTGTCAAGAGAATTTCTTATATGCAGCACAGACTGAAAGCCACGACTATACGTTACACTCTTTACAGGGAAAAACACTTATTAGACCTGTCAAGAAGAGACATACAAAGTTTGAATTTCTTTAAAACGCTATTTCTGAATATGTTGTTTCTAGCTGGGCGCTTCATTTTGAAGCGAGAAATAAAGTTACTTCTGTGCAGAACTTCCGCACGATTATTTGAGTGGAAAGACTGCCTGTTTGTACAATTTGTCCAAAAAAGGTTCCGGAGCACCAAACATCACAAATCCTTTGACACTAGCGGGTAACTCAACACAAGGTATTATTTTAGATGATGATACCCTGATGCCACTAAGTCAATGAACACACGAATTTCGCTCATAAAAAACTCAATACTCACTGCAGAATGATGCGCCGCAGCTAGAAACAGCATATTTGGAACCGCGTTTCTAGTCGATTTCACAAATGGTATTTATATATGTCTCTCTTCGAAGGCCAATCAAATTCAAGTACCCTGATTTCACACGTATAAGGCGCGGGGTTTTTTCTAAAATCGACCAGCCCAACAAGCCAAAGGACTTTAAACCAAAGGACCCTATAACATGCTGTATACTCCTTTAGAGAATCGTGCGATGTAAGTTCTTTTCCGGAATACAGTGAAGCGGCTGAGCTGCTCGCTTGGAAATTCGAAAAATGCGCCTTATACGCGTGAAATTAGGGTACCTTCCCTTGTCAACGGCATTCCGTAGTATTCCACCCTGGGCTCCTTGCTGCTCAAAAGCAAAAGATAAAACACTCGGTCAGGTAGTCTCAACAGGTCGCAGTATACAAACAATGCGCTACTGGATGGAACACCTTGGCCAGTACACAGTGCTAGGCAAGTGAATTTGCGCCCCGAATTTAAGCCAGAATCATCTGGCATTGGCAATCTCCAAAAAAATCAGATAATGTGGAGAATGATTAGAATGACTGCATAACACATATAAAGTTACACCTTTTCGTCCAGTGAAGTCGATCTAAAAATATGAAAAAATTCGAAAAACCTGTAGATGAGTCGGTCTTACAGTCAGCCTCATCCTCCGCCTCAGTCCATTCGCCTTCGGTCGATTCGTCCCACAGCTGTACAGTCGTGGTCATTGGAGTTGATGGCGCAGATGCGTCGGTGACCATCAGCAACGGAGGTTTTGGTTGATTCTTACGCTGCAAAACCGATACTGCATTTCTTTTTGCATTTGTTCGTAACTGGGCCAACGGACGAAACTAATTAGGGATTCCATGAATGCCGCACTATTTTCGGAGAGAAACCACAATTAGCAGCGGGAAGGCGCAAGTAAATCACGTGAAAATCACCTCGGTGGAATCCTCACTTGCTGGCGAGCCTTCACGATTGTGGTTTTCCGCTCCCGGCTTGATCTTTTCCTCTTCAAGTTTTTCTTTCAGATTTTCGAGAGTGCGGTTTGGATCGCGTCGCTTGCGATGTGCTGAAATGGGACATTTGAGGAAGCTTTTGAGCCCTAAATGGTAGAACCTTCCTGCTTTACTAACATTCCTCAAAATGATCGTTCACAGGATGTGCATTTTTTGTTTTGTTTTCGTTTGCATTTGTTTGCAAGGATTCGTTTTTGCTGCTTCATTTAATTCCGCGGCTATGGGAAAAGAATGGATGACGTGTGGATGGACATATGGCATGCACATATCAAAGTCATCCATGACAATTCAAGTTGTCCCCCCCTCACCTCAAAAAATGGAGCGAAATTTTCAAAGTAGCCTAATAGAAATGTGAAATTGCTTAAGTGGTTTATTTTCATGGGCACGTATGCAATAAAATTCTTGGAATTTTTGAAGAAAATTCAATTTAGTCTTATTTTTTTGGGGTGCTGGGCTGCTGCCACGCCCTTCAAAATTCAAGATTTTAAACAAGCTAAAATCTTGATGATAGGTTACTTGAGCATCAGCGTTGTTCAGAAGATTATTTTTCATGGTCGGGAGAAAGACAGAAGAGAATTTTTAGAAATACGGCAAAAATTGTTGAGATCAGGAGAGCTTTCAACGAAAAATAAAAGAAGAAGATGATGAATAATCCATGATGTGTAGGAATCTTTGCAATAAAATCACTGCAATAGTCCAACAAGTGCAGAAAAAAGAAACTATTTGGAAAAGCTGGCGTTTACACTTGACAAAAAGGAGTCCTAAAGAGGCTGATATAAAAATGAAGAAGGTCGGAATGCATGGTTTAAGCCTCTTATGAAGCTTCTATGATAGAATGTAATTTCATCCTTTGAGGGGTGTGACTTGGGGGAAAACTCAGATATTCTGCATGCAAACATGGTCGCATGAAGGGCGGTGTTGTCTTAAATTTATTCATTTCACATCTTCTTGACTCCTCAACCGTTTTGCCAGCTGTGGATGAATTTAGAAGAGGAAATCGTGCGCTTCTGTAACAACTAGCAACTTTTACTATATAGAAAATGCAGCTTAAAGCAGAAGAAGAATGATATCTGAGTTGCGATTTTTAGAACCAATGTAAGTCGCCAAAAACTAAAACTTCCAGCACATTGTGAATCTGAGTAATATGAGTTTTTATGACCTATTTCTTTTGAGTAAACAAAGTTTATGCCGGCCAAATATTCTCAGGGTAAAGTCGGAAATGTTGAGAAGAATGCTAAAAACTGGACAACGTAATAAATCATTAAATTTTTAGATATATTCCAAATCGTTAGATTATGAACAGTGCAGTGAACCATTATCTTCTAAAAATCACTCCGTAATAATCATAATATTTAGATGGTTTTCGTTATATTAGTTCGTTGCATAACTTTTTTGGGCTTTCTTCGTCCCCCCTAAAAAACCTCCGAAAAATTCGACAAAGCCTCTTATTTAGCATATTTGGGAAAGAAATAGACAGTTATCCCTCAGCATCATTTTCGCCTTCATGATATGAGTCACAAAAAATATAAAGGCAATAATAATGGCGCTGCAAGCTCCACATTTTTCTATGTTTATAAAAATTCTCTCAACCTACTTTTCGTTTCTGGATTTTTATGGAGTTTCGGGAGCTTTGATAGTAATAAGAAGGCAGTTTGAAGCTTTTTTTGAAAAACTTGTAACTTCAAACAAGGAAATCATCATTTGGAAATTTTTCAAGAACGATTTGGAAAAACTTCAAAAAAATTTTCGAATCTAGAAAAACAAATTCTTGGTTTGGAAGTATGCCAAAAATGATCCGAAAAACTTCGAGAAATTCAAAAATTGAATTTTCCATGTGTGACATGTATATAATAGGAAACCAAAAAGTGTTCCCATAATTTGGATACGAAGAAATTGTTTGAATGACTTTTGAGACTTTTGAGGATTTTTTTCGGTTGGTTGAGTGTAAAAGACTTATGTAAATACGCGGCGATGGAAAAATTCAAAGCACTCCGTTCTTTCCCAAGTGTTGCCTACAACCTATACAGACACCTGCCCAACGTAAAAATAGCAAGTACCGTACCTTTTTTAGCATCGTCGTCTTCATGCGCATTATCGTTTTGTGAATGATCGCTCAACGGACTTGCTGAACGCATTTTATGATGATGATGAGAGTCTGAAAATTATTAGGTTAATGTGTCTTGCACCAAAACCTGTAAAGCATTCGTTCTAAAAATATTCGGATATTTTTTCAGAGCATATAATTTACTTTAAACATACATCAAAAGTTGTATTTTATCATAATCTTAGAAACTTTTTCGATTTGAAACAATGTGTATGAAAATAAAAACCATTCATAATTCGTAGAAACGTCCAATCAGCAAGAACTTTTCTTAGATAGAAAAAGTACTTTATGAAACCAAGAACGAAACTAAAATGAAAATTCAATAATTCTCGTAATTTTAGACAGCAAAATCAAAAAAAGACTTTTTGAGTGCTTTTCCTTTTTATCTTATATTATTGCGTAATGGCAATAATGTATTAGAATGCAAAGTTCTCTTTATCTAGCATACACCAAGTCAAAAGATTTCTTCGAAGTCGGGAAAAGATTATGAATTTTGTAAATTTTTGGTGCTAGCTAATGTATCAAATTATTACAAAGTTACTGGACAAAACTCAAAAGTTCCCAAGCAGATGTTTTTAGTGCAGATGCGGCGGCAAGAGGAAGAAAAGAACGAAACGACGGGGGTCAGCCGGGGCTTTCAAAATGAGTGCCACATGCTGCAGAATAGCAATAGCTGCTTGCTAGTGCAGCCAGCAGCTCAGAGCAGCTCGAGGTGTGTGTGTTCGTCCGCATCGTCTCAGTTTTTTGCCCCTGCTTCGCTCAATGCACACTGTCAATGTTCGATGGCTAAGTTCTACGAAAACAACGTTGTTCCCGCTAGGAAAAACTACTCGAAAAGATGGCCGCGCTGCGATTTTTCGCCGAAAATAGCGGTTTTTAGAGCTATAGAGAAGAGATTCGCCTCAGTGGTCACTAGAAATTGATCACTCTCAGGATCAGAGTACAGAATGATGAGAAATGAAGAGCAGTGGCGGAAGGGGTGAAAGGTTATGATCAATTAAGGAAGTTTGATAATTTTTTTGAGAAGCTATTTACATAGCTTCCTCAGAAGAAAAATATCGGAACGCGATTCCGTTTCGATTTTTTATCAAAATTTCAGGACAATGCCCGGCACGGGGCCGTTTCAGGCTTTTTGAAAACGAAATCCCCCTGAATTTCGCAAAATTTTGGGAAGTCCCTTTGACCCAAAATCGGAAACGTCGACTGAAGATACATTTGTGTTTTTCGGACCCACAAAAACGATATCCCCTTTGCTGCCCCCAAACGAATTCCAGCTCGCTTCCAGACGATCTGTGCAAGGCCCTGTTTTAGGATCGTAGGCTTACAGATACGAATAACATCCACAATTTTTTGCAGATAATTTAAAAAATAAAAGAATTGAATTTTGTTGGTCATCCCGAATGAAAATATCAAATAAGCCCCTTAGTGAAGATTTACTGGGGCTTGAAGACTACAAAAAGCAAAATATACGTCTCCCAGTTCATGAACATTTGTATGAGAGATGGAAAAAAGAAAATTATTGTCTCAGATCAAACTTGGCTTTTACAGCCTTCTTTGGGCAGTTGGAACTGACTATAATCTTACGACGAATAATACTGATTATTGACAGATTTTTGTACTTCCGCAGCTAATCAAATTTTTCAATATTTTTACTACTTGTTGGCTTATTGAACATAGTATGTTGTTTCGTAATATATTTCGTAAGAACAATAATTAGGAGTTGCAATGTGTGAGTGAACAGTCAAAATTTTCATGCACGAGATAGTATTTTTGGTGACAAAAAGACAATTGTTTTCCGAAATTTCTTTTGCGATTATGTTTCCCTAGTGCACCTTGTGTGTACTTGTGAAATAAAAAAAAATAAAAAATTGTTGAGCGGGAAGCTAAAAACAGAAGAAATGACAAAATCTATTGCAAAAGTGGTAATTTATTTCCTATTAAACCAAAAATATAGTTCAATTCGTTTGTTTAGCAAATTTCCTTCAACTTTCTAAAAAAATGCAACTGCTCTGAACAAAGATATAATTTTAACAGCTATGACTTCAGTGTACCCTTTTTTCTAGCAAAAATTTTTCGTAAGGTAAAAACTTACCTAGTTTCCTTGGCTCTTTGCCTTCTACAGTAAGAAATTGTGGCGTACCCTCTCTGTGACGTTCTGGACTTGACGATCGGGTTCCTTCTCTCTGTAAGATAACCATTAGTTTGAGAAATCTAATAAGAGTCGGTGGTTGGATAGATTACTGGGTTGCGAAAGTGGGTAAATTCTAGATTTTAGTTTGAAGAAAAGCGCTAAGTATAATCTAATGTGCACGTTGTGACTGCCGACACAAAATTATTTTCCCAGGGTAACAAAAAGTTTAGTTTTTTACCCGTGGAAAGACGAGATGCAGTAACCGAGTGTTTCTGTTCCTCTTTATAGAAAATCGAACCCAATCGAACCTATGACCTCAAGTTTCAACGCTATGAGTGCAGCGTTTTGATGTCAAGAGCTCTAAAGAGCGTTTAGAGTACATATTTGAAAGTGGAACAACGTACTGACAAGAGGAAGAATTGAGGAAAATTTAGTAAGAGAACAAGATTTGGAAATATGAAAAAGAATGAGAAAATTGAGACTTTATGATGTATATGAGTTCCAAAAAATTCGTAAAATTCACGAATTCATAGTTAGGTCAGGGCAGAATAACATAAAATCATAAGAAACCTTACTAAAATCTCTTCGAATTTTGCGAAAAAAAAGTAAGAATTTTCATACCGTTACCTTTACTTTTTCTAAGGTTTCAATGCAACAGAGCTTGGAGCAAGTACTTTAGTAGATGGAAATCAAATAGAGGAAAATCACTCTACAAACAGCTAAAGTCAACATCGTAATATACTCGCGGGAATGTTGAAAGGCTCTTTTCTAAAGTCATTATTGTCAGACTCCCATTTACACACCATAAAAGCAAGGTTTATAGATTCTAGAACACTTTTCGGTTTATAAGCGGGTACAGCGAAACACCTCAAAGGTTTTGAGAGAAATAGAAAAACAAATTCAAGGGTTTTAGAGGAGGTCAAAGACCCTGAAAATAATATGCACTTTTCACCGATATTTGCAATTTTCTAACTGAAATTGTTAAATGTAAAAATTCTTATTGCAATGCTGTACGGCAATGCTTACAAACCAATGAATTCTGTGTAATTTTATAGGTTTCTAGACCAGTTTTGCACTTTTTCTCTGATGTTGGTAGAAGAAAAGTCTCCCAAATATTTTCACTTCTAGGGAAAAGGGAAAGATGTGCAGATATTGCTTCCTCAGTAACAAGTTACTAGTACAAGTCTTGCGCAAGATGATTTGCAGGTCATTTCGTTTAGGAGAATAAGAATATTGAAAAAACGATGCAGATTCCCAAAACACTTGAAAAACAGAAATTTGTACACTATCTCGTACAGCAGGACATATCGGCGCAATAATAGCACACAAGAACTCCGTCTGACCACTACGATGACATTCGAAACGAGTGATTCACAACAAATGTATCAAATGTCGACATTTATGAAAGTTCAAGTTGCGAACGAACGATAGGATTTTGCTACAGCACGTCCGGATGTAAGAAAATTTTTGCAAATTTTTGTATATGCATCAGTGACCCCCCCTCCTCCCAGGATTTTGTATCATTCGTTCTCTGACTAAGAGACACGAGTACGCTTTGGTTACGTCTGATTAACAAGTTTATGAGCGCGTTTTAACGCGTTTTGGTAAATTACTATTAGAAATTGTCAAAAACATGTTCAAACTCGCGATGGTTAACAAGATCGAACATCTTTTCTCAAGGAGCTTATATTAACCCACTGACGACGATGTGGACCACCGCTGGCCCACGCACTTTTTGCCTCGGGGGGGGGGGGTGGACCACCGGGTGCCTTCACCACTTGCAAAATCATATCCTTTCCAGGTCTAGTATTTTTTCCACAGTTCAGCATTTTTCTCCAATTTTTTGCAGTTTTGGAACCTGTAGACTTCATCGTACAAGAAGATGGCTGCAGGTGTTTACAAAACATCTTTACATTTCGTAAATAATTACAAAACTTCCCCGGGTCGGAAGTGTTGTGCAAAATCGCCTTGTCCCACGGTGACGCCACGCAAAATTAGGCGTACTCGTCTTTGGGTTAAACTTACCAAACCGCGTTAGGACTCGAACTTGTTAATCAAACGTACGCAAAGCGTGTTCGTGTCTCTTAGTCAGAGAATGAAATAGAAGTTCTAGTTTAGAACATAGATGTATAGAGAGCTACGATTATCCATGTCATCTGTTAATAATCTTATACATTCCGATAAAATAGCTAACGATTTATAAAAATTCGAAATTGGCCTTGTATGATATTTTATGGGGTCGACGAGCGGCCGATAAGCACCCTTTTTTTCGAGACTCAGGGTTTCCTTGCAAAAAATTTGGAAAGTTCTTCCTTGAAGGCGTCCAATTTCCTCCTTATCCCCTCCAATCCCCAAAAAAAGTTCTTGTGTCGCTATTGGTAAACCTTTGATTAACTGGCTTGGGGAAGGCGGGGCTTTGTGACCTAATGAAGGCCGCTCGCGCCCGCGACGCACCTGCGACTCTCTCGCGCGAGTGCTCTCCGATCATTAGGTAGCCTTAACTAGGTCACGAAGCCCCGCCTTCCCGAAGCCAAGCGAGTTGGATCAAATGGTAATATCTATTATAACTTCTTTTAATTTAGAACCAACGTTAATTCAGAACATTCAAATTCCTTGCTTGAGCTTTCCCCCACCGTGAGCGCATAGGAAGGATAGACAGATAAATAAACAAATAAAGAAGCAAATAAATAAGTAAACAAATAAACAATAATAACAATAAACAATAAGTAAACAAATAGATCTTACCTTCCTCACGCCATTCAGCGAAATTGTGAACTCAGCCGTAGGCTCTGACTGTTTTCGCTCTGTTGCATTTTCTACGGACGATGTTACTATAATGGGTAGTGGAGCTGCTTTTTCCTCGCTTTTTGCTTTCGCAGTCTCAGCAGGGGATTTGTTTTTTGGAGTAGGATCCATGGTAGAAACGGGTATTTTACTACTTGCAGCAGCTGGCGTGGTTTCTTTCTTGGTTGGGGTTGGTGTAAGACTTTTTGTCGTTGGTTGCGATGTCTGGGGAGCTTTGGCTGGAGTGGATTCCTTGCTGGCTGTGGGTAAGGGACTTTTGGTTACGGTAGCGGGTGAAGTTGGTTTGGTTTGGATAACTTCTTTACTGGTTGGCGTTGGTGTATCACTCTTCTTTTCAGCAGCACTGACAGCAGATGGAGCTTTGGTTGGTGCAAGCGATGGTGCTTTAGGTGAAGCCGAGACAGAACTTTGAATTGGTTTTGCTGAAGCTGCCGTTTCCTCCTTCGCTGTTGAATTACTTGCAGAAGTTTTCGTAGAAGATGAGCTCATCTTCTGCGCTGACACTGGCGCAACATTCGGGCTGACACTTCTGGATGGCGTTTGCTTGATGGTTTTTGAGTCAGCTGCTTTGTTGTTTTCGATTGCGGATGCTGTTGGTGCTGGTGATTTCTTTTTCTCAATTGCTTCTGTCAGTTTTGTGGTCGATGAGTCGCGACTAATGTTCTTGCCCTCGGTTGCAACTGGTTTCACTGTCGCTGCGGACACATCAGCTGAAATGGGGCAGATGTAAATTTAGCTTTGGAGCAGTTTAAGATTACAAATTCAACAAAAAAAATCCGGAAGGTTCTATTCGACTGCAGATCCTGTTTATACAATAAAAAAATAGCACGAAATTTTTTTTTTATTTTTAAACACGCTCCTAAATCAAGTCTTGTACTTCATTGCCCCACGGTGCTGTCGTCTTGATAGCCGACACAGAAAATCATTTTTAATACAAAGTTTAACCATTGATTTAACTGGTTTGGCGGATGGAAGGCGGGGATTGGTGACCTAATTAAGGTCAGGTAATGCTTTCTGGTCATTATCTAGCCTTACTTAGGTCACGAAGCTCCGTCTTCCAGTGGCCAGACCAATTGAATCAAAGGGTAATTTCTTATATTCTGATGAATTTTTACTACTATTGTTGAAAAATACAGGAAACATGAAAGTTCGAACTCTCCCTTGTGTTGACAGAGGACTAATGGTTGCATCTTCTTCTACGATCCTGATCACAAATGCCATCACCACATTTCGCTTGCAGTAACGTCTAGTTAGTATTGTCAAAAGAAAATTTCTTATTTGCATGAATTTTGTGAAACAGTCAAAATTGCTTTTTCTTCATTTGCGAGGATTTCTTGAGCACGATGTACATTTTTTAGTTAAAATCACGCTTGCTGCCATCTACAGTGTACCCTTTGATTCACCTGGCTTGGCGACTTGAAGGCGGGGCTTCGTGACCTAATTGTGGGTGGAAGGCGGAGCTTATGACCTCATTAAGGCTAGGTAATGAGAAAATCAGAGAGCACCAGCGCGACAGAGACCCAGACTGCCTCGTCGGCGCGAGAGGCCATAATTAGGTCACGAAGCTCCGCCTTCCAGTCGCCAAGCCAGTTGAATTAAAGGTTATTACAGTAGCTCTGAGAGGCTAATCAAAAGGATGAAGGTTATTGCTGGATTAAGCGCAGAAGATAACCCTCGGAGTGAGTTTTCTAAAAGATAATGATCTTTTAACGAAATTTAAGAATTGACACACCGTGTGTAAAGCCACCATCAATGTGCTAGTATATATAGTCTCTGCATTGCCAATTTTGGCTGACAACATTTGCGCGTGAACGAATTGCTGCATAGATGGACATAGAAATTTAACAGGCTAATGGAACTGACAACAGCTTTTAACTAATTAGCTAATTAGCTAACTTTGCACTGAGAGTAATCGTTAAAAACAAAGGAAGAAGCAATGCTTCAAAAGAAGCATTTGAAAAAAACCTTCAGGAGAAAATTTTTTATAGTAGCTCTAATGGAACTGTGCTAGGTATGTAGGCATCTGAAGTAAAACAGACTTCAGCTCCATTAACTAGAAAATACTTGTTGTGGTGAAAGCTTTAACAGTCAATTTTAATTGAGCACGAACCTCAGGGGTACCCCTGGTTAACTGATCGTAACATAAGTTTTGGTACACTTGAAGTTTAAATCTGCATAATTTTCCCAAAAAATTCCGTCACATTACACATAAAAAATTCGCCTTCCGAATTTATTGAATTATCGAACTATTTTTGGCATATTTCCAGCTTGCTTCAGTAAAGAGGCTTCTTTCAAACTGCCCTCATATTACTGTGTCACTGGGAATACGAACAAATATAGGTTCAAAAAATAAGCATGAGAGATTTTTTGAGAAAAAAAGAAAAAGTTGAAGTCCCATTACAAAACTGCTTTTGTGTACCGCACCCGTACATGGAAGGTGAAAAAGACAAAAGATACTCCTCTTTCCATTATTCAAATGTGCCAAATTTTAGGCTCTGCCAAATTTTCTATAGCTGTCTAGAGGAAAACAAAAAATGTAACAAAACTTGGGTTATCACCAATACAAGAAATTTGCAAGCACCAGGTCGCTTTCTGAAGATCTAATTAATTAGAGTTAATTTTATAACTTTGGAGCAATTATAAACACTTGCCAGGCTTAGGTTGAGCGCTAGAAATAGAAGCTTGAGCTTGTGCTGTTGGTGTCTTCATTGTAGAATTACTGTTAGACGTTTCTTTCTTCTCCGCCATCTGCTTCATACTTTCTAAAAATACCTCTAAAAAACCAATATCTGAGCCTGTTGAACGAAAACTTGTCTAAGACGAAGCAGTTCAAAAATAAAGTCTCTTTGTTCCCACGTGTATTATTGCCTGCTAGATCTTCTCGTTTCCGTGGCATCATAGGCGAACATTTCGGAGTCGCATCTGGTGAGTTTTTCCTGGAGCCACGGGGAGTGATGGATGTGTCCGCCTAATACATGGCGATTTTTATATACTCAAGAGACAATAAAAAACAAGATAGTTACTGATTGTGAGAAAGCAAGCAATGCAAAACTCCGAAAGATAGTCACCCTTTGTCGAATAGTACGAAGTTGCTCAGCAAATGACTCATCAAGTTCGTCAGGGCTTTGTTCTTCTTCTGACGACAGTCCACCATCTTCCGCTTCGCTATGTGAGATGAAGGGACGAATAGTTGCTAAAAAATGATTGTTAGTTATAAAGTGCCTGGGGATCTCAAATTAAAAACAGATGGTGTTGGGTATGCAGTTGGTAAAAAATCTTTCATCAAAAATGACCAGTATTTGACCGCCGACAAGCAAAGAATATTGAATTAGAAAGTTAAAATGGCTACAAAAAAAACACAACTACTGACCAGGAAAATTGCGCCCACAATTTCCTTTTCAAAATCAAAGAAAGCTTTCCTTTGAAAAAACCAAAAAAAACCCATTGGACAGCATTATACGTTTAAAGCCTCACTAATATCAAAAACGGACCACAAAAGTTCTAGTCATAAGGCTTTTTTACCCTATGTTTTTCATAATAAAAAATATTTGAAAATATTTGAAAAAATGACTAGGTTCTACATCCCTGTTCTTTCGAGAAATTCATTTCCTGTTTAGGTATGCCCCAATATGGAGAAGCCGAAGCCTTCAACAGCGGCTTCAATTTTCTTTTCCTGTTCGAAGTCTGGACAGCAAACATGGTGCTTCCAGGAGAGAAAACTCTCTTCTCTTTCCGCCGTCACCTGTTTTCTGCAGCCAGCAAAAAAAGTCTTTTGAACCTTGTAAGGACCATGTGAGAAGTTCGGCTTCTTCAATGTCAAAAATGCAGGTTCTGATGGAGTGGGAAAGTTTGGAGTTGGCAAACTTTGCAATGATGGTGTTTTTTAAAGGAGGGTCAATTTTGTCGCCACTACCATCGTGGGTTGCCGAATCCGAAAAATGCCCGAGACAAATTAAAAAAGCTTTTGCATGAATTTCAGTTTGGCAGGGAAGAATTCCAGATGCGATGCGGTGTTTTCTCAACAATTTGTTTTCGAATCTCAGTGATGTTTTATACAATTACGACGTGTGAATTATGTTTTATTGCGAATGAGTAAACTAGTCGTATTGCTTCCATGAATATAATGGCAGCACAATAATTGCCTCTTTACCTTTATTATTGCTTCCTCCACCACTTCTGTCACTCTCTCTGTCAGAATCATCCTCCTTTACGTACTTGTGGTAGAGTTTTTGAAACGTCTTCTCCACTTCATCGTCCTAAATGATGATGATGAGGGAAATTGTAATGACCGAAAAGACGGACAGCGCCGCCTTCTAGGTTTTCGCGACCATTATCAACTGAATCGTAATACTCTGCAGCTCAGAAATTCGATCACTTCCACATGCTTTTCAATTTCAATGCATACAACCAGATAGAGTCAAACACTTAGTCGAAGCTTATTATATTTCAAACTAGCTGGTGGCCCCGGTCTTATATCCGAGACTTCAAGATATGTAGTTAAGCCAAGGAGCTTGTAAACTTACGCCTCTAGATTTCTTCTAACATGCGCATAAAGCGCTTTCAGGCTAATTGCCGCACCCTACCAATTTTGAGACTGAAATGGACTTTACCGCCCCTGCTTACATGCTTATATGTAAAAATGATCGGTTGCCATGATGGCCCTTCATTTTCTTAGGTTTGAGTAAACAAATCAATCAATCGATAGAATGGCCCGGCGAATCGCCGCGGAAAGTAGCTCTAAACCACCGCCGGGATCGAAAATATACGTGTGTGAAGTTTCAGCCGGATCGGTTCAGTGGCGCGCGTTTCTATAACGAACGAACAATTAAACGAACATCCTCACAGACATTGAGTTTTATATATATAGATTACCATGGACCGAGCGCATAGCATTTGGAACGGGATGCAATGGAAAACGATGGAAGGCAAAAAATCTGTAAATTTTGACACACATAGTGCCCTTTTTTATTAGTACAAATTCAGTTCGTTTCGTGATGCGAAGTTAACCGAACTAAGCTGCAAAGTTCTTCACTTTGAAGCCAATTATCTGCCATAATCGCTGACCGCCGTCAAATGCAGAGGTAAAGTTAAAGGGGAGACGGTCAAGAGGCGCGATTTCTTCGGCTGTCACCAACTTAAAACTCTAATTTAGTGCTATGCGAGTCTTTACAAATTACCAGATAAAGTGCATTAGCTTACTATCTCTCTGAGGTCACCACTTGCTGAGTTTCACGGTTTTTGCTATGAATTGTACTAAAATATTTACGAATTTGTTCTGAAATGCATTTTCATGAGCTTTTTGACCTTCAAAATTGCTGTTTTGAATTTTTTCTAGAAATCAAGACTGAACAACTCATGCAACTAACTAATTTATCTCTTCTATATTTCGTATACTTCTAGAAAATTGCAGAACACTTATTATGTGCTATTTGGTGTCCAGCTGGCAACAAAGATCGCGCCTCTTGACATACACCCAAGTTAAAGCTTAGGATAAGAACCAAATGATGTATGAGTTTGATACTGTTAGCCGTTTAAGTAAAGCCAATTTTATTTGTTAAGTAAACTTCTTTGTAGTGCACAAAATAATCTGATCGGTAACACATTCTCAAAGAATATGGCAGCATCAAATATGTACTTTGTTAAGATGTTTTACGATTTAGGCCTCAGAATTATGAGGATCACGTTGAGGATGTCTGATAGCCATCTCACACAGCTTACTTTCCTCTACCGTACTTCAACCCGCCAAAACAAAAAAAAATAAGAGCAACTCGAATTCTAGAAATTGTGGCAATAAATCTGATACGGTGAATTTGATGGCCCGATAGGTAGTTATTGAGATATTGACGATCAGATCACCGAACAAAAGTCTGCTGTATGGAATTTTCGAGCTTTTATGAAAAGTGTTTACTTTTACTCCTATCGGCTACACTTATGTTTACAATTAATGTGATCTCCTATATGCAATTGCTGGAACCAGGAAGGCTACGGTTACTTCACATTCTTCGCGCTGTGATAGCTGTCAAAAGAACTTTCAATAACACCATTGATCTATGAAGCATCTGCTGTTTTAACTATTCTCCATCCAACCTCACATGATTAGCATGAAGAGTTGCTGTACTTTACGAAAGTGGCTGCTGTAAAGAGCTTTTATGGGCGGATTTATCAACAGCGCTACGCTACTATGGCAGCTATCCTTCCATCTCTTTTGATTTCACAAAAACATAGTATGCACGAATTCGGCGCAAACTATAAAACCTTTGAAAGAAAAGAAGCGCTCTTGAGAATACGGGTCTGCTTTGAAGCGACACATGGCGACTACAAGATACGAGGCTTTCAAATTCTTTGTGGATCTTCTCGATGTCTGATGTAAGCAGCTTCTACAATTAGCACTGCTTCGAGAGAAAGAGGGGTGGAATGCGCGCTTGCTCCCCTCTCCTCCCCTTCCCCCCCCCCTCTCAAAAGTGAATTGCGAAATTTTTGAAGGTAGCCTTTCATAGGTTATTCAATTATGCAAGTGACTTATTTTTACTTGTAGACATTTAAACATTTTTCAAATTTCATTCAAAACTGGAAGTGCTTCAAGAATAAATTACCTAGGGGGTGGCTGCCGCACCCAAACTTTCTTTGAATTCCTGGTATAGCCCGCAATAAATAATTCAAAGCATCCTAAAAGTTCCCTCAGAGGGCGTGGCTAACGGAACAGCGCTTCAGTATAAAAAGATTATTACTCCCCCCTCCCCACTCGAACGAGATTTTTCGTAGCATCTGCCAGTATATCGCCAGTATATTTATTGATTTTTTTGACTCAGTGGCCAGGATATGTGTCACGGAAGGAAGGAGGAGTGCCCTTTTTTCAAAAATTTTTTGAAGAATGGGACGGCCAATGGGACGGATGGAAGCTGGATCGGGAACTGTATGATCACTTATTTTTTACTTTCTAAAAGATTCTTACAAAAATGTGACCATTCATATTTCTATCATTCATTCACCACTTATTCGAACACAAATGCGAGCAGCTAGGACTCTCCACAAGGACTTGCCAACTCTAAATTCATTGTTTGAATCTAAGAGCTTATTGCCCAGATGTTTTGAGTTCCAGGTTATATCACCTACGATACTTTTTTCATGATCGATAGACAACGATAAATCTCTCAGAATGACTGCCAGGCAAAAAAAAGAGAATGTGCACAAGAAACGCAATAGCTGAAGCAATGGAACGGATTTTATCTACCATTCTAAAAGTAGCAAAAATTTTAGCACGTGTCCTTTAATTTCCAAAAACAATGCTTTGGTGCAATATCTTTTTCATCGAAATTATTCTAAAAACGAAGGCGTTTGAACTAGAGCAGAAACTGGGAGGAGATCAAATTATTTTTTACTTCCAAAAAACCTTTTTTTTCAAAATGTGACCGTTCATATCAGTCAGATCGATCCGGCAGCGGAAAATGTGTCTTAATTTTTCTCCGATTTTTTTGATTTTTCCCAAAAAAAGAAAGTACAAGGCGTTGCAACCCCGAGTATTGAAAGCAACCAAAAATCTTCTCGGAGGGCCTGGCTGACCACACTTCAGTGAAAAAATTTTTTTCTGTTGCACCCCCTCCCTCCACGTACTGTCTTGAATGATCCTTCCGGAGAGTTTCTGTCGTAGTTTACGGATTACTAAATTTAACTCAGATCATGTAAGCACCGTTAACGACTCCTTCCCCCTTTTTCTTTCAGCATGGTCCCTTGTCCAAAATTTTTTCGTGCCAGGACTTGCTAGCCACATTAAGCTAGAGCCCCAAATTAGCCACCGTCCCCGCATCTGCCGTGTTCAATCCACCTTTTCATTCTTCTCGAATGTTATGTTTTCGTCGGTCTCGATGCCCCACTTTACAGCGGTCAGCTGGCTGTGTGAGCGAGGCGAGTCTCGGCTCATTTATGCTGATTCATGGTCTTGTGCATCTGCCAGCTCGATAAATCGATAACATCAATCTATCGATCGAAAATCGATAAGTCGATTCTTACCTCATCAATCGGTGTTTTCTCACTTCTAGACATTGATCGACATTCACGTTCGAAAGCACTGACTCGTGTTGGGGTACTCCTGAAGAAATTACGTCAGATAGTATTCAGAAGAGGTGAGATTAGGTTACCTCTCATAACCCGGAGTTTTCGATCGATATTCGAAACTGTTCCTTGGCTGGTAGGAAGAGATTCCGGTAGAGGAGGAGTAAGAGGGACGATATCTGAAATCCGCAAAAAAAAGATATTGTAATCGATGAGGTGATACCCCGTGAGACCAAAGTCAGCTGATACCTTGCGTGCTGTACAGCATTCTCAAACGAGGTTTTTTTCTAAAGTTTAAGTAGGTGTAAAAGTTTATAAAAAATTTGTGGGAATAAAAGTGAAAAGAAGAGAAATAAAAATTGAATGCTTGAAGCAAAGAAAAGATAGTGAATAGAGCGATAAAGCTGATGGTTTTAGCAGAATGAAAGAACAATTCATTCATCTCACACCTTCTATTCATCTCCCTTTCAACAATTCAATACATCTCGTTTCATCTTGTCAGTCAAAATAATAAAAAACAAAGATGGAAATAGAAATTGAAATCTAGATAAATTTTCGGTTGTTTCATTTATTTTATGTTATTTATTGTTATTTTACGATTCAAAATCAATAGGTCTCCGGCTAAACTAACATCTGTATTATTTTGGATGGAGGGTTCGATAAAAAAAATGCCGATACAATGCGGGGCAATGATCAACAAGTTCAGAGACATCATTGTGGTTATATGAGGCAAAATCAGACGCTAAAATTCGGACTGCTTTTTTTATATTAGGTTGTTGCAGAAGTTCTGACGTTTCATTTTCAAAAATTTGTAACTCCGCGAAATTTCAACGGATTTGCTTGCTTGTAATTTTATTAAGAACAATAAGTCTTTCGCTTTCAAATGCTGTTCCGTGGAGCTTCTGTTTCATACTGGGTGCGGAGATAAAAATGGAAAATCAAGACCATATAAGCTTTGACCATTTTAAGTTAGGTCACCAAAAATCTGGAATGCTGCAGAAAAATCTGAAATCATCAGTACATATGTTTTTCGGCCTACCCTTTGCATCTGTAAAGAGTTTGTGCTGTCTGGACGTCTCTGTGAGAAGTTATGATTTTCGCGAAAATTGACAAATTAATTAATTTTGGCGTTTTCCATAGAAAACTCGATATTCATAACTTCTCACAGAGACGTCCAAACAGCGCAAACTTTTCATAGATGCAAAGGGTAGGCCAAAAAACATAACTGACGATTTCAGATTTTTCTGCAGCATTCCAGATTTTTGGTGACCTAACTTAAAATGGTCAAAGCTTATATGATCTTAGTTTTCCATTTTTATCTCCGCACCCAGTACGAAGTAGAAGCTCCATAGAACAGCATTTGAAAGCGAAAGACTTATTGTTCTTAATAAAATTACAAGCAAGCAAATCCGTTGAAATTTCGCGGAGTTACAAATTTTTGAAAATGAAACGTCAGAACTTCTGCAACAACCTAATATTTCAAGACTGAGGCCATTTTGTGACTTTTCCAACCAATTTAGAGTTTATACTTTGGCCGTTAGGAGAAGAGGAGAAATAAGCAGTTATTCTAACACATTTCTCAACTTTATTTTAATAAAGTGACACAGTCAGCAGTTTTGATTCTATGATTTTTTTGGATGAATCACAAAATCTCAGTGGTGTTGAATGTATTCAAATTTATATAAGGTTTTCTCCCCTCTTGCATTGTAGACCACAAACCAAATCATTGCTAACCTGAACAAACAAAGCATTTTTGACAGTTTGCAAGGTGTTTGCTTTCTATGATATCATAGGCACCGTAGAATTTGTAAATACAAACGACTGTATAATAGGGTCTGAAAACTGAAAAATGGACTCAGAGGGGACTATAAATAGAAAACGCATATGAATGGATGCATATGTACGGGCAATACAAATAAGAGAAAAAGGAGAACAAAATATCCATGGCTTTCATGGACATTGTTTTTTGGTCATTTTGGTTTTTTGACTGAGTCTATTTACAGATATAGTTTTCACTTGAAATTCTACCACAAATAAATGACCTGCATATTAAGTAACAAAACTGAGATTTGTGAAATCCATAATTATTTTGTAGTCGAACAATACAAGGGAAAATCGCAATCTCAAGGGTAAGGATTGTACTTCAGAAATATTTTTACGACGACAAAACCGAAATCAAGGAAATGAGAGGTCCAAATATGTTTAGGATGTAGGACATCGTGATCCAAACTTCGGCTTAGGTAGAGGCGAATTTGCAAAATTGTCTGCTTTTAGCAATAATTGGGAGAGCAATGGGGTGGAAAATCAATTTTTAAAAAAATTGAAGCTTCATATACTACTATAAGTTCCCCTTCATTTCCCTAAAATTCTCAAGCCAATCAGATTCGTCCCAAATGAAGGAGATGAGAGAGCTCACCTAGCCAGGCTACTGGAGCTGAAAGAAGAAGATGGATTGTAGTCTGATGCGGAAATACCTGAATCAATGTCTGCTGAAGTCAGTAGTCAGCTGGCGTTAACAAATACGAGCTTACCTCCTGTGCTTCCGGCTCGACTAGAGCGAAGTAGGGATGTGCTACCATAAGCAGAACTAGTTTTACTGTATGGTGATTTATAGTGAAGTTGTTCCGTGCTGCTGTATCTGAAGCGAAAAAAAATCAAAAGAATTGAAAATTAACAAAAAAATTATTTTGAAGAAAATCATAGCCCTCAGTTTATTGAATATAGTGAATTGATGTCTAATAGGAGCGCTACTTGAGGTTAGGGGTAAAGAAAGATTTCTAAAAAAAAGAGCGAAATTCAAATTCATTTAATAAAATGTATCAAAAGTGTAGATATGTTGATATTTTGTTTGATATTTGTCTATCAGTTTAGATACAGACACTGGATTCAGACAATTCAAATTTCTCATATCGATAAGAATTTTCGATTTCAAGTGAAAAATCAAACGAAGTCCATGCTTCAAGTTCCAAAACGGCCTTGGCAAAAGTGGACACTTATAGACAAAGTTCTTCTTCAATCCGCTCAATCGCACTTTAAAGGACCGTGAAGCGGATCTTGTCCTTGACGAAAGTTCTTTAGTTTTCAATCGAAGTCTTCTTCGTGTTTTCCACTTCAAGAATGTTTGCCTAGGCTATATGAGTCACCGCCATGCAGAAATAGTTTAACGAGTTTGAGGATTGACCTCATTGCAGAATGGATGCAATTACAACTTGCAAGAAAAGCAGCGCAGAGGCTACGTGGTTTGGACGATCTGTTATTCAAGACAAGAATGTATTTAAATGAGACAAAGCCGCTCTCAAAAAAGAATTAGGAAAATTACAAAAAAAGCATTTCTAGATGGAGTAAAGCGAAACATAAATATAATAAAATCTGCATACAAATGCATTGAGTTACTATGATTAAATCACTATGTGGGTAAATTAAATCATTCAAAATCCTGTCATGTATTCTAACAAATCTATAAGCACTCTTTCGGATACTTTGAATGATAGAGGATCACTTCTCAACCAAAAAATACGAAGTATGAGTTTACGTAAGCTCAGGAGGTTGAAAATATCAGTCAGATGCTTGCGAATGAGATCGAAAAAAAAAACAGAATAAAAAACGCTTGATCATTAGACAGAGGAACAAAGAAATTTTGTTCGTAAACGATGAAAGGATGGTATTTATCTTAAGTTTGTATCAGTATGTTAAGAAAAAAGGGCTACATGAAATCAAAAAATTAAATCAAGAACTCGGAAATGCTACACTCTATTTCAACTGAACCAAGAATGCCAGCGTTTGATGGAAAAGGGACATAATTTATGATCCAGAAAAAATATGGTTTTTTTTGAAAGACGATGAAGTTCAAGGAATATAGAAGGTTAAGAAAGGGTTCATTTGCAAAACATAACCGTACATAAGCGAATGACTGGAGAGAGTAAAAATGATGAAAAATCTGTTTGGGCTATCTTTTTGTCAAATCGCTCACCTGCCGGCGGTCCGTGTTGGCGTCGAGTAATCATGATGATAAGAATGGGACATTCCCGAATAGGTCGGTCTCGAGTACGACGTCGACGACGGCGTCGTCGACACTCGATCTGTCCAGTACGGTGTCGATGTCATTGGTTTTCTTGTACTGCTTCCACTTGTTGCATAGGGATCAACGGAACTGGCTCGATATGAGTGAGACGATAATGCCTTAAATAGCAATTTTTACGATGAAAGCAATGAAGGTGTTGTTTGGTAGATGTATAGCATCAAATTTGTAAGCCATGAAAATTGCTGCGAAAGAGGCAGCTGCTGATCGGGGAATGCTGTTGTGAACGGCGCGGCTCAACCGACCGACCGCTCATGGGCGGTCTGCCATGCGTTCCCACCAACGCTCAGAGATTTTTTTTTCACTTTAAGAACGTTCATTGTCTGACGCTAGAGCTTGAAAATGGATGGCTAAAGCACTCAAATCAAATTTCTTATTTCTATTCAAACTCGCAAAGATAGGAATTTTTTAATTTCATTGATGTACTGTGACCAAATATGTAGACATGACGAACTTTAATTTATTTCAAGAAAGTCTTGCCTGTCAACTCAATGTTCAGTTGCGAGTCGCAGCTTCGAAAGTTTAGAAATTATTGCCCATTTTTTAAAATTAAAACACAAAATATACAACAACAAAGTTTGCAAGCGGTGAGTCTAATGCCCTAGTTTTTCTAGCAGTTTATAGTGAAACAAAAAATGGTATTTGGTTGACATATCACAACAAACGATAAATAATTCTGGTAGAAGGCAACCAGATGTTCATAAGTTTCCGTTCGTTTCACAACAATAAAAAAATGCCATAGAAAATCGTCAAAAAAAACCATGGATTCGTCGCAAGATCATTATGACCCATTCCTGAAATTCGTTAAAAGTCAAATTTCTTCTACCAAATACTACTGTAACATTACCCATCACAACATTTTTCCTCTCTTTCCTTTTTCTACTTCATTCATACAACACACAATCAATGAAATTCTGCAAATTTTCGGTGGCATTCTGCCAAGATACACATGGTTTCGCCCATTCGCCTTGGTTTCTCCTCCTGATGTAAAGTGGTTTGAAATTCTGAAATGATTGGGTGAACATCTCATACAATTACACAATCAAATGGGATTTATAGCTAAATTAAGCGCCATATGGGTACCCAATCTATATTTCTCTTCTCCAACATGTATATTAAATATCCTTTTTTTGTCAGTTCTGCTTATCTCGTGCTTCAAAGTTTTCAGTTCGACGCATTTAAATGCAGTAAATGAAAATAATGGAAAAAACAAATTATTCACCAAAATTATATGGGAATTTTTCGAAACGCTTTATATAAAAGTGGCTTAGACATTGCCGCTAAGACTTCCGATGAGACATTCCTATCTTCGAACGTACTTTAAATTTTTTTTGCATTTTGATTGATTTTTTTTCAAAAGAGATTGTTCATAGCCATCCGCTAATTCAAAAGCAATGTACGACATTCTCAACTTCTTGGTTTCTTATTCTTGCCGACAAGATTCAGAAAAAAGTCTTTGAATATGAAAAATTCTTTGAACATAATCACATTAATATAAGAATGCGAACATCTGCCAGTATAATGACAGTATAAAAGCTATTCTCAAAGAACTAGTCTCACTCAGAGGTTGACAGCTCAAAATTGCCAGTGATTTACTTTTTGATCAATTATCTGTCACTTCTTGTAGGTATTAGGTCGTCCTAAAAATATACTACATTTTTTAATAAAATATGTTTTTGTTTTCCTAACCAACTCAGAGCACCATTCGATAGAGCGGAGCAAGCTCTACAAAACCTCCATAAATCCACTTAAGACGTACTCTTGGTAAAGTTTGGAGCCAAAAATCAAAGCTTTTCAGCTATCCTAAAAACCAGATCTCCTTCCAAAAATCCCTTTGGACTTCCAACTTGGTCTTTATATAGTAGACACAAAGTAGGTACCACGGAATATCTGGCTCTTTTTCCTGGCTCAAAATTGAGAAACAGAGATGCTGCGAAAATGCCAAAATGCCATTTTTTGGTTTTTTTCATGTAAAACTTGAGATTTCTCGATTATAAGAGCACATACAGGGGTAAAGTTTCGATATTATATTTCGTAAAGCTTGTAATATACAATGACATATGTGGTAGGGACTTGGGGACGGAGTTTCCCATTTTCAAACTTTTCGCTTTCTATGCGCGAAAAAAATGACTAAGTTGGAGGTCCTTAGAATTTTTCCTTGCAAAAATCCAATTTTCGGGTGGCCAAATTTTTTTCAACTTTGGCTTTAAACTTTAAATGGAATGCGAGATAGGCGGATCTTTGGTCATTTTGTAGAGCTAGATTTGCTTTATCAAGGGAAAGCTAAGTCTACTGGTAAAGCAAAAACAGCTTGAATTATTCAAAAAGAGTTTACTTTTGTGCGGCCTATTAAAATGAGTACTGTAAGAAGTTGAAAAGATGTTCAGCAAAATTGAACCTAAGACTCAACCTTTAGTAAGAACATTTTACTCATGCAAATGTATACTCTTTGATCTTTTACCGATGATGTGTAGCTTCTCAACGACAAAGAAGAGAAATCCAAGCATGCAAGGCTTCGGAGCAAGTTGTTATCAGGTTGTCTTATAAGTCTTTTCATGTCTGACTTTCCACCAGCATAAGTCAGTTTCTCGTATTTTCTAATAGAATTAGGGGTACCATTCGCAGATTTAAGCAAGCTCTACAAGATGGCATTCAAAAATTTGCACCGAGCTTGATCAGCATTGAGTTTCAAGCCAGAACAGAAAAAGTTCCGAATTCCGGAAAAAACGAAAACTATCATATTTCATTTCAAAACAACTCGGCAGATTTTTCACTTGCTCAAGCATGTCTCTCCTCACCATATATTTATACATGCACTTGCCGCATTCTTCTAATGGCGGGGAATCAAAAAAAGAACTATGACTAATTTTCAAACTTTGCCTGTAACCGCTCTGCGTTCCTCGCAAATATGTGATACAAATTCGCAGCCTTGTAGGTGCCCCAGTTCTTGAGAAATATCGATTTGAAGGTTCAGATATGAAAAGACTTATGGGACGATCTGATATACACGTTATAACGATGCGTCTCTGCTAAAAAGTATCTTAACGACTGTGTACTCTATGCGCTATAGAACATGAACTCAAAAATGTTTCATGAGGTTTTTTGAAAAACGGGTCAGAAAAATTGAAGTAGTAAGAACTGGTAATGTTTTACAGATATGATTTTGAATATGGAAGTCCTCAGGCTGCTAAAATATGGGGAGACAAAGCACATACATCGTCCGAATATTGATATTGTTGTAAATAATGATTTACTGAAGTCAGGGTGTTCCAAAATAATGTACACACTGTTCGATCGTTATTGACTCTCATATAACAATGTCTCAAGCCGTTGTTTAGGTACCATTCTGTAGTGCAAGATTCAACTTAGGTCTACAATTTGGAGCGAATGATTAAGTACATTCATTATTGTAGACTTCCAGCATATAGAACCATTGCAACACAGGTCGTCTAAAGACTTTTGTCGGGATTTTGAAAATTGTGCAGCAATGTCTTCAGGCTTGCTGATTTTACTCCAGAACCTTTTACCTCGAGCTTTTTTGCTGAGCAAATTTTTGCTGGCGTAATCACATTTCTGACGAATATTAGAAAAACCGTTGTTATCAATAACTTGAAATTTCTCATGAGTAAGCATTGTGAAGTGCAATATTCACATTTGGAATCAGCGATGTCGTTGCCCAGTACAAGAGGTTTTGATCTATTTGGTTTTTCTAAGGCAAAATATCGGTCTCAATGGCTTATCGTTCTTAAAGTTCTGCTGTAATTTTGCAGTAATGAAGAGCGACTGATAATTCGCTTCAAACTTTAAACCTAAGTTGTACGCCGTACCGATTAGTACCTCAAACTCGGCGAAAACATTGAACCAAAGGAGTTATGACGATCAAACCGTGTTGAGAACTTTTTTTTTGTTGTTTTTCGCCCACGATATTCTGAAAAAAAAAGTATCTACGATAGCAGCCACTCGGAATTCTCTTGAATTAAGGACAGTTGTGCTCCAATGTGGCAAATAAATTTCCAGCTCAGTTCTCTGAATTTCTAAGCTTTGTTTTCATGCTTTGATGGATGTAGAGATGCGCAAATTGATATCTGGAGAAATTCTCTATTTAGGAAATGACAAAAAGTGTGATCTATGATTTTTTGCAGTTCAAAAAAAACGAAATTTTCTCATATTTGCGCACTATGAAAACATTAGGGTATTCATTTTGCTACCTCTTTCTTAGGGAGATATATACTCAATGATTTACACTCCTAATTTCAATGCAGTAGTCTTTCTGAAGAGAATAAACTGGGCAAGGCTTTTTTGTAGCATTTAGGAGCCGCAAAAGCTACCGTATTCATGAGCCAACCAGATAGAAGGACCTTAAAAGTTTGTAACTCCGTTCTTAGGAGTAGTTGCATTGTGTAAGCATGGGGAAAAAATTGCCCTTTCCCCTAACATTAACCCGATATCAGAAATGCCATGTCAAGGAGATGCAAGCTGATCAATACAAATTACAGTGTTCAAGCATTTCTTGACCGAATAAAACAGGCTGATTGGCCGCAAAAGGTTAACAGATTTTGTTCCACTTTTTTTGGTAAAAAAATTTCCAACTGGATGATAAAAGTAATTGTCATAAAAGTCCAGAACCTGAGCTAGTGCTATATATATAGCAGTGCTGATTTTAAGAATGTTTACGAAAAACTGAACTACTACAACAAAATTTTATTTGTATTGATTTATGAGCTCATTTTAGAATCTACCCTTCTGTCCCAATACAGCAAATAACTGCGCACAATCTACTCAAAAAACAAGTGCTGCACTTTGCATACACCTAGGACTCCATCTGACTTCGTTAAAAAATACAGTTTCAGGTATTAAAAAGTTTGTGCAATTGATACCTAAAAAGAAAAGTATCAATAGTAGGTAGCAGGTATACGTAAGGAAAAGAAAAAAGAGAGAAGAATAAAATCATAAAAAAAGCTGGACTGCAGAAAAACAGCTTACTTTCATAGAAAAAACTGCTATAGAGAAAATTGGAGAAATCAAAATACAATACCGTATCCCGAGGTGTATAGGTCGACCGTGTCATACTCGAAGCAGGTGTTCGCTCTGCTCTCTCGACGCTACCACTTCTTGATCGTATAGAGGAATACATCCCTATAATTATCGTGTTCTTATGAGAAAATATTATTAGAACATTATGAAAATAACACGCTACGGTCAATCCTCCAATCTATCACCTGTTAAGGAGAGCACTAATAGGTTGAATTTACGTTTTGCTTGATTGTTTTTTAAGGAGTTCGGCGCATCAACCAGAAGATTCTAACAGCACCAACATTCATAGATAGTCAAACATGAATCCTCCAATATTGTAGGTTCTTCTTTTCTACAAATATGTCTCATGCGAATATTCAGCTCAGTATGATGCCTTCTAATTCTTGAGAAAACCTTTACTTTGAATGTCTCTAGAAATGCAAGCCTTTGAGGAAAGGTACATAAGCTTATACACCTAATTGTGCTAACTTCAATGAAGATCACAATATCGAATTATAAAAGTAGGTTCAATGACTTAAAGGCAGTGTCTCACCAAAGTTGGGGTCGCGCGGATCTTCACATATTCTATCATAGGGACCTCTAGATAGGCCATTGCAACAGGTCCCACTCAATTTGACCCCCTCCACGCTGAGAAAAATTCCCTTAAAGTGGTACGCGGAGAGCGACTTGGTACGCGCGGACGACTCCTTCAGTCTCCCCCCTTACGCGTTTGAACATGTCCCTCCACTTGGCATCCACCTCCACTCTGTTGCTGCCACTGTGGCTGAGGCTGAAGTTGGAAGGTACAACTCGTCCGCGGTGCTTCCTCGGGACCCCCAGAAAACGGGGTTTTTGGGAACTTCGTGCGATTTTAAGCCCATACAGTGCTGGACAGGGTCCGACAGGCTTGCAAAATGCAGAAATCTCAGCAAGTAAATTTTGGTGAGACACTGCCTTTAAGAAGCTGAAACTATCGATTGATTCAAAGCATAAATGAGCAAATATTTTGGGAGCACTTCAGCGCAAGGAGAGCTCTAGTTTTTATTGCTGAATCATCTTCCTACTCTGAGAAATTAGGTTGTGCATTGCAAAACACTGCTTTGAACATGAGGAGGGCATATTTATTGTGGCGTTAGGACTGACACATAAATGCATAGACAAAGGAGAATTTCAGATTTTTACAGCGGCATTTTTTGTCTTCAAAAGATTTGCAAAATGGTCAAAGATTTGAAAAAAAATTTTAGGACGCGCACACTGGCCATAAACATTCGTTGCGTAGTGGTAAATCACGACAGCTTTGTTTTGCGATTTATCATGTGCAGGAATAAAATACGGAGTCGGCTAATTTTTTGGCAGCTTCAGAAGTCATAATCCAACTCGAAAAAATCGGAAGCAGTTAGAATTTTTCTAATTGATACTTGCGCTGTCATTTTGACACAGTAAAGTGTGAAAAACTTACAGTGGCGGCTAGAAAAACTGCGGGATCGACGAAAGTAAAAAGGAAACATTTTTATATTTGGTGCTTTGACAGGGAATAAAGTACAGAAATACTCTGCTATAGCTAGGAAGCTGAAAGATGAGATCAGTGTGTAGCACTTTGAAATGGAGAAAGCTGCAAGGGAGCAGGCGAGCGATGTTTTTGGCTTTACTACTCATGTCAAAAGAAAGAAGGCAAAAATGCAACACAACTGCTCAAGATCACGTCCATTACCAGCGAAAAATGAATCGCATAAAATGCCAGAATACCAAAAGCCATTCTTCTCTGGTTAAGGCAAACTGTACTTCAAGAAAATTTATGAGTTCTCGTTCCAAACGATTTGTTCTCGGGCAACAGAGTGTTTTTGCAAGTATTGAGATTCAATGATCGATGGTGGTTTGAATTGCATATGCGATGGTCTCGTTGAGAAAGAGGTCAATTGACCCGCTTACGTCTTTGTTACACATAGATTTTGCACTTTAGTAAGGAAATCATTAATTATTGTGAACTCATCTCATTGTAGTGTCAAGTACGAATACCGTTTAATCCTTGTTGAAAAAAGCGATTTTTAGGCTTCAAAAATAAAAATTAGATGATAACACGAGAAAAAGATATTTTTTTCTAAAGTCTGTTACCTTCATTTCCTCCTATGTTTTCCTCATTCTCCGCTTATAACAAGCTTTAAGTCTTCCAGTAAATTTCTCAGTAATTAGAACTATAAGATAAAAACTTTTAGTTGAGTTCGTTCATGATGTTTTACAACAACTAAACTTTTCTTATTATTTGCTAGCAGGAATAAAATTAGATATTGTATTTTGCGATGCATTGGTCAACACACAACCAAACTTTCGTAGTAATATTAATGTATGCGTAAGTTAGCACAAATTTTCAAGTTTTTTTGAACAGATGATGAGATAATACTCATTTGGAAGCAGTATTGTTGACATTCCAGTAAATTTTTTGCCTAAATATTGACATGTTCTCTTTCTTTTTGAATTTTTACAGGTTTTGCGGAGCAGCTTATTAGCAATACCGGTGTTGCTTTGAATTAAGCGCAAAACTAAGTGGCATTTGAATTTCTGGTAGTCATATTATCAACATCAATCTACTCTACCCTATTCTATCGAATTGCTGCAAAAATAATGGCCGATTTTCCAAGCCTTTTTTTCAGGGCAACTTTTTTCCATCAATACTTCTTCTTTAAAAAAATGTATACCATCGAGAAGCTGTTTTCATGCTCTATCTAATGGTGTTTGAGGCTTCCATCCTCATCTGTTGTAAAGTTACTCAGCTTCAAATGATCGCACCCAAATTCAGAATTTCATTGCATTCACTGCCAGAATTCAAGCTCGTATCAATGACACTCCTTCAAAAATTTAGCTATTGTATGTAATAGAAATTGTCTACGTTACGCATACTCAACTGTATTCTTTAAAGTTACCAGACTGAGATACCGGCGCCTAAACATGGATTGCTGTTGCGGTAATTTCATGAAACACAATTTTCTTCTGAAGAAGTCATTCGCCAAAGCTTTGCTCAATGGTAAGCGTAGGGCTAGACCATCCTGTTAGCAGTTTTTGCAAAAACATCCAGCTGTTCAGAAAGTAGAAAATCAGGAAATTCTATATTCGAGACTTTGAAGCACATTGAAAAAATGTTGAAAAAAGTGAGAAATTTTGAATTTTGATTTTTCTCTTGCAAACTTTTTTTTGTCCGAATTCTTTCTATTGTGTTTTGTACTACTGGCTTGCGGCTACAAGATAGGCTACTCATCATTCATACCAACAAACTTTGAAGGAAGTTATGAATTTTCAAAAACAAGATTCTAGCAAAGGAACCTTTTTTTAATCCATATTTTTTCTGCCCGTTCGTGATGTGAGTATAAGTAAATGTGCGCTGTATTTAAAAAGGTTTGCTGCTTCTGATGATCGTCACCGCATACGGAAACGTGGATCTTTCAAAAAGTTATGGCAGGTCAAAGGGAGAATTCACAAAACGGCCGTTATTTTTGCACCAACCTAATAAAACCTCTCACTTTACAATACGCACGCTGAAATAACACCTATAGTAATTGTAATGGAATGAAATTCAAGAGTAATACACTTTCTAACAGACTTTATCAGACTTAAGCGTGACACATTGGCGTAGAAACAAAAGGAATAATCCTACAACACTTTCCCAAATCGCAACTTCAATATGAGTACAAAGTAAATTTGTGACAATAATAAAACACCGCATGATATTTGCAGTAGATGAAATCTCTGAACCAAGCACTTGAGCATGCGACTGATGCGAGATACATAAGTCTTCGAGCTTGTGAAGTGCAAGGTGAAAGTCAGATTTATACTAGTTGAAGTAAATTGTCAACGGCTGACTGAGCAGAATAATGTCTGAATATGTATGCTATGCTCCTGAAAGGACAACGGACTTTTTTATTTTGCCATAAACTCAAAATTAGCTCAATCCTTCACCACTGACATTATTTGGTTGACTCTCTGCTTGGCAGGCTCAATGTATCAATGCGTTTTGACAGAGAACAATTCTCGTCAATAATTCTTTCATATAGGCCAACTAATTTGCGATATTTTTTATCCAACAAGGGAAGGAAGGTTGGTCGAATTGGCCTTTTAAAATAAGGTCTACACTGCCTGGTAGAGCTTGGAACGCTGATTCCAAATCTACCTTTGCTATCTGCTGCGGGCTTCTGGGCAAGGAGTTATGAAGGTTTTTGTGAGTAAGAATCTGAATGCAAAAATAGGGTAAAATCAGTCGTAACCTTTTCCCAATGTTCAAATGAGGCAGCAGCGAATTGGTATATCTGAATCAAGAATATTTGTTGCACCGAGTGATCCGACTACCAATTAAGCGTTACAAAAAAAAATGTTACGACTGATTTTAGCCTACTCTTGCATTCAGATTTTTACTCACAAAAACCATAACTCCCCGCTTAGAAGCCCGCAGCAGATAGCAAAGGTAGATTTGGAATCAGCGTTCCAAGCTCTACAGGGCAGTATACATCTCATTTCAAAAGGCCACTTCGACCAACCTTCCTTTCCTTGTGAGATAATGATGAGCGAAGTTACTCCTTTGTAGCAGATTAATAACAAAAATTGATGGGAAATTTTTCACGCTGTTTATGGTCCCTAAGCTTACTCTAGAATAACGGGTAATTTAAGAATAAACTAATGTGAGCCAACTTAATCAAATCACGATCTCAACGGAACGCAGGAATGCTATATGAGTTGAGCGGTCTGAAGGTATAATAGAAAAAAGAAGCGAAGAAATGATGGTTATCAAGCTTATAAGCATATAAAATTGTCATCTGTATCCTTTTTTAACTTTTGGATTAGTACAGTAAAAATTTCTTCATTATGGCTGTATCGAACAAAAGATTTGTAACTGTTCGAACAACCTTGCTTAATTTCACGTAGTCACTCTTACGACAATTTAAAAAGCGAATTTCGTTCAGAGTTTTTAGACCTAATAAATCATTATACCGTGAGATACCCAGTAGGGGAAATGCCGAACCAATTTGCTCTTTCGTAACAAACTTTTTTTTGGAAAAAAAACGTTTTTTTGCGCAGAAATGAGAGGTACAATAGAAGATTTACGAAGGAGATTAAGAAAAAAACCGAAAAATTGCGCAAT